AAACATAGAAGCCACTCCGTTTCTTTTGTTTTGACGTCCCACGCGCAACCGGAAGTTGATGCGTTCAAGACAAGTTAGCACATTAAGAGTTGAAAGCAATTTGGAACAGTTCTCCTGATTCGGCATCGTTTGTGAATCTGGAATCACGCTCCGAATTCCACGTTTCGGTGCAGCTGAGTCGAGGACCTTAAAGTCAAGCCACAGTGGAGGAACACATAATTCTCCAATCCACAGACGCCCGTTGACCAACTCGGAGGCCAAAATTCCTGTGCCCAGTTTGCCCATGTTATAATCTGGCCTTGTCCAGAAAGGGTGAGGTAGAACACAGCGAGATAACATCTGTACGTGGTTTTGATAATAACAACTTTATAGCTTATTTGCAAACCAAATTATTTCCATCCAGAGCTCAGATTTCTTAGATACGGAGATTCTGAATACATTATATTCACACATAAGTTCCAGACACCATCCTGTAGTTCGCATCCACTCACAATAAATAATAGTTTAAACATTTTGTCAAGTCTTAATTGTTTGTAAAATAAATTCTTAATTTTTATTAACCTGACTGTTTCTTGAATCAAAACGAAGTGTGTACGATCCCTTAATGAATAAAAGAATCCTAGAATCTTCTGACTAAAACAAATAAAGACCAGGCAAGGTGATATTCTATTGAAACAGAGTATTACAGCTTATTGGTCTCAAGCAATGTTAATAATATAAATAGCTCTTAAAGCAATTTACTTAACCAAATATACTATTCATCTAACATCACAACACACACACACACACACACACACACACACACACACACACACAGAGAGAGAGAGAGACTCTTTTCCAACAGATAACTGTAAAGACACTGCAAGACAAACTAACAGCAACTCAAGTACTTTCTTTCAACAGGAAAGCTTCATGTTCGCAAGGCCAGGCGCCTTAGACCTACTCCAATGTTTTTTAGACCTGATTTTATGGTTATATGTTACAAAGTCACAATATTTTTCAACAACTGGGCACCATTTCATTTATTTTCAGCAACATTTTGATGGACATTTCCAGAAATTAATTGTAAAAACTACAAATTGTCTCTTTAATATTTTGTTGCACAGCCTTTTGAGGCAATCACTGCAGTCAAACGATTCCTGTAACTGTCAATGAGACTTCTGCACCTCTCAGCAGGTATTTTGGCCCGTTCCTCACGAGCAAACTGTTCCAGTTGTCTCAAATTTGAAGCGTGACTTTTCCAGACAGCATGTTTCAACTCCTTCCAAAGATGCTCAATAGGTTTGAGGTCAAGGCTCCTAGAAGGCCATTTTAGAATAGTCCAGTGTTTTCCTCTTAGCTATTCTTGGGTTTGTTTTGGGTCATTGTCCTGCTGCAACACCCACGACCTGCAACTGAAACCAAGCTTTCTGACACTGGCCAGCACATTTCTCTCTAGAATCCCTCAATAGTCTTGAGATTTCTTTGTACCCTGCACAGATTCAGGACACCCTGTGGCAGATGCAGCAAAGCAAGCCCAGAAGATAATACATACAGTATAGAGAATAATGGTTTAATGTAATCCAAATTACATTTTGAGATGGCTGAAAATGTAAAATCTTGTGTTAATGGTAGAAAGGCTCCAAACGGGGTTAACATGGAAAACGGGCCTGTGTGCACAGCATGTTTTATTAATCACATTTTTCACAGTGCGACATGATTAGTCTGATGACATGTCTGACTCAGGTACACATTTTATGATTTATTCCACAACAACAAATGGAAAAGTCATATTTTTGTTTTATTTTCCATCTGTTAGTCTGCAAATGCAACACTGGGCTTGAAAATCTATGCGGTGAAAACAGGAGGAAAAAAGAACATCAATATTATTTCACAGCTTCAGAGAATCACTAAAAAACAGCCTGTCATCACACCAAGATGTGCAAAATGTTCAAGTCACGCCAGTGTAAATGCAGCTAATTCCTGAGACTTTTAGGAGTTTGGATTTTTTTTAGGCTGCAGAGTTCCTGGATCCATCACACACTGAGGTCTGATGAAGTGGAGCAGCTGCAAAAGCAGAAAAATCTACTTTAGCCTTAAATAAAACAGAACATTCTTGTAGAAAGTTTTGTGCCAAGTAAAAGTGCACTCAGCGTTTGTCTTAGATAAAGGAGCACAATCATAATCTTGCTCTTATTGGGTTTGAAACAGCTGAGTTAAAGCCCCTGGAAGCGTAAACACAGAAAGATTTCTGGGGCTCTTATGCACACTTGCCCTCGCCTCAGATTATCCATAACACTCTGGGAAATATCAAATTAAATGAGCTTTTTAAAGAAAAACGAAAACACAGACAGCCATTATTACCACAGGCTGTTGTTAACTAATGCCCCCCCCCCCCCCCCCCTACAAAAGGAAAACACGACAGGAGAACATGATGTTCCTCATTCCTGAACGTCTCCAGATTTAAATAGTTAGACCTCTCAAGTTGTCAGAAGGACGAGGTGCAGCTTCAGACCTTCTGGTGCTCCACGACCACGTTTTCCTTTTATTGGGTTCATTCTCAGCTCACAAAGGTAATTAGATAATGTATTCTTGAGTTGTGGTTTGTACCTTGAGATGGATTTCCAGTCTGAAATGATACACTGAGGAACCTGTTCATAACACAACACATGTTGTGCAGGACCGTGTGTACTCATGCATGTTTGTGTATTTTGAAAGAACAAGTACATGGGCAGTACATGCTGTTTGTGCACTGTGGCTATAAGCATCCGTTTCCCCCTCTGTTGAATGCTGACGGTTTACTACTTTGTTAAACTGGTGGCTTCCGTTCAGAATAGGTGCGGACACAAGTGGGCACTTCCATCAGGACTCAGAACAACCTCAGGCTGTAATGCACATCATTCATGTTATTTTTAGGCCAAATAAATAAAGTAACGAAAGAAAGTAAAGATCAAAAACAAAATAATGTTTTTATTACATGTGGTTGGTTCGTCATGGACCAAAGCAACTTTGTCCTGTAAAACAGCGCCACCTAGAGGAGTCCAACATAACCAGCATGTAAACAGAGGCTTTACTCACAATGATAACAGGAGTTGTAAAAGGGCAGCCTGGCCTGCCAGACTCGTCCTCTGTTTAATTCTGCGCAGAGAAAGAGTCTGGTAACTCACAGGCAGAGAGGCACATGAGGGGCGGGACTAGGCAGCTCAAAAATGACCAATCAGAAAAAAGGCACAAATCCTGGCTTTACCGCACAACACGGTAGATTTCTAGTTGTAGTAAAAAAAAATTGCATTTGGCAATGGCGCAAACATCTTTTATTTTTTTTAGAAGAAGAAATGCTTTTAGCGCTTCTACTTTTTGTGATTTTAAAGATATTCAAGTCCTTTACAACAGAGGACAGAGCCGCAGCGAACTCCACCGCTGTCTTCGTTGTTTATGAGAAACTGAGCGTCGCTGCGTGTGACGTCCGCGACGCTGTAGTTTTTTTAGCTGTAGTAAAAATGGAGTCTGGCGACAGCGCAAACATCTTTGTTTAGAAGAAATGCTTTTAGCGCTTCTACTTGTGGTTTTAAAGACAGGTTCAAGTCCTTTACAACAGAGGAAAGAGCCGCAGCGAACTCCACTTCAGTCACCAAGTTTATGACAAACTCGGCGTTGTGGTGTGTGACATATGATACTCAGCGCTGATTGGCTCGGTCAGAATTCTCACGGGGTGGGGTTAATTGAATAGGAGGGTTCCCAGACTCTTCCTCAGTGCAGAATTAAACAGAGGAGGAGTCTGGCAGGCCAGGCTAGTAAAAGGGCAAGTCACCCCCAAATTAACTTTTTTTGCTGATAAACTGTATAATTGAGTGTCTAATTGTGCTGTAGCCATGTGTAGTCAATAATTTGGCACTTTAGTGCATCTTAGTTAAAATTTAAATATTGTCTAAAGCTGTCAGTGTCGCACCCTCTTCAGGTAAAAACCTTGCACTATAATTGAATTTAAGTCTACCATTGCTATTGGCTAAAAGGTACCCTATGCCATTAGCTGGTACCATATGATGTCACAATGCTGCTGTGAGCCCTCTCAAGTCTGCCAGGCAATACCTCTACGTGGCAGTTTTCAAACAGGAAATGGGAGTGGAATTAGAATCTGGCAGAGGGTGACTTGCTCTTTAAGAGGCTTTGAGTGGTTTCATAGCCTGACCAGCCAGCCCCATGCTTCCTTAGTTCTGAGTTTCTGCTTTTTGTAGATGATGTGGTCCTGTTGGCTTCATCAGAACGCGATCACCTTAAACTGAAGCGGTTCGCAGCTGGGATGTGAATCAGCTCCTCTAAATCCGAGACCATGGTCTTGACCCAAAAATGGGTAGAATGCCTTCTCCAGGTCAGGGATGAGGTCCTGCCCCAGCTGGAGGAGTTCAAGTATCTCGGGGTCTTGTTCACGAGTGAGGGAAAGACGGAACACGAGGTTGACGGGTGGATTGGTGCTGAGTCTGCAGTGATGTGGGTGTTGCTCTAAATTTACCGGTTGATCTACGTTCCTACCCTCATCTATGGTCACGATCTTTGGGTAGTGACCGAAAGAACGAGATTGCGGATACAAGCGACTGAAATGGGTTTTCTCCGCAGGGTGGCTGGACTCTCCCTTAGAGAGAAGCTCGGCCATCTGAGAGGAGCTTAGAGTAGATCTGCTGCTCCTCCACATCGAGAGGAGCCAGATGAGGTGGCTCGGGTATGTGATCAGGACACCTCCTGGTGCAGTTTTTCAGGCATGTCCAAACAGGAGGAGACTCAAGGGAACACCCAGGACACGGTGGACAGACGGTCTCTTGGCTGGCCAGGGAACGCCTTGGGATTCCCCCGGAGGAGCTGGCCTAAGTGGCTGGGGAGAGGGAAGTCTGGACTTCCCTGCGTAGGCTGCTGTTCCCACGAACCGACCCCAGAGGAAAGTGGATGGATTAAAACTACAAACTCATCGAAATCCAAAGTGACACAAACCTATAAAACAAATTTAAGATAAATTGTTACCAAGAAAAGAAGCTTTCAGAGATGTTTTATTGTACTTTGACAGTTTAGATTTAATAAAGCCTGGAAAATGAAAATCATTCTTTAACAGAAGCATCTGTACCTATGTGACAAATAAATGGAATCAGCGGCTCCCCTTTCACTGACAGAGATGCAGCTAGAGATGGATAAACGTGTTTCTGCTGGATTGTGAAGTGTGAAGAAAACACTTGACAGAAGGACGACAACAAGAGCCTGAACCAAAGCAGGACTGATGCTTTCACAACACGCTGCACCGTTACAGGCCATCATCTTCAGCTTCCCCTTTTTGTTTCATGTAGATTATCAAAAAGAACAAGCACACACAGTAACAAAAGCTCATATGGTCAGAAGAGATCTGGACTTGTCAGCACATGCTCTTTGAAGCTGTACAGCTCTCAGATCAGCCTTTAAGTGCAAAGTGCCGAGTTGTGTTTTAGAAATTAAACAAGATTCAAGGTGTGTTTGATTTCAACTACAGAACAACAATAACTTAAAGAGGCAAAGACAACAAGGACACAATGTGGAGTAGCTGCACCAATCACTCTTTAAAGCATCAGTCAGTACAGCACCCCCACTGGTTCGTTAACGGCTCCTGCCTACAAACACAGCCCCCGTAGAGAAAACTACGCATAAATAACAATAATGAACTACAGAAAACAGATCAAATAAAAGATTTATTTGGGAATCATTTCCCAGGTGTTCCTGGTGAGTTATGCTGACATGGAAGTATAATCAAACACAAAGTGTTATCGAGTGACACAGATGACACGATTACATGGACGGTTACTTTATTCCTCCTGTCTTCCTTCTAGAATGCCTTCAAAGGTAAACGGGAGGAACTTGAAGCCCTGGCCTCCATAAAACTTGTTTTGAAACTCCACCCTGTGGGGAAAAAAGGGACGACAGTTAATCAACATAAATACCCCTATGAGGAATACCGCAGTAATCAATACTGGTGCTGACCCCTGGACCTCACACATAACCCGGTTTCCTTCAGAAAGTGACCAGGGCCTATTATATAAAGTCCAGTGGTAAGTGACCTGAAGATGACCTTAACAGCGGGGTTAGGAATATCAGCCTTTCCCAAGCCTGTCTGCTGTAGTAAATCCAACAGAGTGGGTAAGATTAAGAAAACATTTTATTACTGAAAGAGCTCAGTATTATAAACATTTAGTAAGGCAGGACTTCAAGGTTTGTTTGGATTTAGGCTGAAGTGTCAGAGTTCAGCAGTCACCTGATCTCTGCTGCAGCTTTCAGTGGAAAATACAATAACTATCACAAGGTTAGAGACGGACATGCCGTGATCCTCAGATCATCTACGACACTCAGACATGTTAAAAGGGACAAACGTATACCCCAAATCACAAAAACGTGTGTGTGTGTGTGTGTGTTCTACAAACATTTTAATTGGTGCACACCCATACTGACTGGTCTGGAGGCCTTACAACAGGCTGAGGGAACTTAGCCTCATGATGTAAAAAAACGCGTTCTTTTAATAGGACATTATTATCATTAGTCACAACAAAGTCATCGGTTTTCATGTTTACACTGTTAAACTCCACTTTTCCTTTTAACTTTAAACACACAAGCATCGTGTACATGCTGATAAGGACATTCTTGTCCGATTAAATACATTTTACTGTGTTAGAGCTGCGAGTCTTTGACGACTGCATCAACATTCATGTACTGTATGTACATTTGTCACATACTCCTAAAACTACTCAGACTCTTTCTAGCAGAGGCTTCTCCGTCAGCTCCGCAAGGGACAGACACGCACGGATTGACGGAAGCGTTTTGCTCTCATACTTCTCCGTCTCCTGGAGAGTGTTGCAAAGCAATTCCCCGGCAGGACCACAGAGGGCGTAGCGCTGTTCTGTGGTATCCTGTCATGTATCGGTCCAAGATCGGTTGTTTATATTGTGTTTTTTGTGTATATAAGAGACTTTTAACACGGACATATTTGTCTCTCATTCTCCCACCTCTTCATGCGCTCCCCACCTCTAAACCCACGTTTCCTGTCATTTCCGTCCACAAATAAAACGCTTGCTGCGCATCTTTTCACTCCTCCAGTCACGGGAGGATGAAACTTTCATATTTTTAGAGTTTTTTCGCGAGGTATTCTTCAAGCTTCTCCGTGTCTGCCGTTAGTTATCCTCGGCTCTCTTTGCAATGGCGGCGCTGTAAACAACAGCGGCGTCGTGACCAATCACAAGCTTGCGTAATCCGTCTCGTTCGACAGATGTTTAAAAAAGTGGGCTCGACTCCGTACGTACTTGCGTGCCTGCCGGATCCCTACGCAAGGACGGATAATGGCGTTGCGTGTCTCCGCACTGACGCAGAAGCATAAATCAGGCTTTAGACTTGTGTTTAAAGGCTGATTTGACTTGCCTTTAGCACCACCTAGTGCCCTCCTCGTAGAACCGAAATCAAAACTGTTCTCACCGTGTGTTCTTCTTTTTAACCAACACATCCTCACACCCAAGCGAGACCAAGCGTATGTTTCTGACACCTTGGGAGGCCCAACATGTCGGGAGGCGACGCACTGTGCCAGAGCATCGTTTTCCGACTACCACGGTAAAACGGAGATTTCACTGAATTGTGACCTATACCCTCTCGTTATTTAACCTTCCCCTCACCCCCATCCTAACCCTAACCCTCTTACACATGCAAAACTTTGTTTCTAGTTGTAACGTCCCTCTCCAACACGGTTAACTGGAAGTTTAGAACGAGAAGCTGGGTTAAGGTTCGGACGGGGGTGAGGGGAAGGAGAACGTGTTGTTTTAACACCTTAATCTAACAGCTGAAAAGTCTCCCAGCCTTCATTAGTGTCTACAGGAGTGTTTCACCACTAAATTAAACAAACCTCCTGTGTTCATGATCTAACACATGCAGGAAACGTGCTGGAAGCAGACTGCAGTGCCAGGTACATCAGCTCCTTTTTTTTTTTTTTTTTAATCCAACAGACTCTGAAGCACTCTAAGTTGCAAATGCGGTATTCTGGCAACAGAGGGTGGTGGGAGTCTGAGTGGCCTTTCCTCAACCTTGTAAAAGGTCCTTTTGGTCCTTTTAAAATGTGGAAAGGTTGCCTAGTATCCCTTTGTTACTAAAAGCTCTTTACTCTCAACACCGACACCTGAGTGACACATTGAAGCGCTTTACAGAGGCTTTAAGCAGGATTTGTGATCAATTTGTGTCTGGCACACATTAGGAGATATGGATAAAAACATCTGATGTTTCAGGTCCACTTTGTTAAAAACATTCAAGAACCGTTAGAATAATACTAACAAGGCTCTTATGTATAACTTTATCTTTGCTCATCACAAGACAGTCAGCTGAGAAACACTGAGCAGCAAAGGCCAGCAGGGGGCAATAAAGTGTCACATTCATGAGGCAACAGGAGACCCACAGAGCAAGCAACGCCTAAATTACCTTGCTTTTGCTGATAACCTGTATAGACCCGTGTCTAATGGTGCTGTACACATGTGTAATCATTAGTGTGGCACTTTAGTGCAACTTACTTTAAATGTAATAATTCAGCCCAAAACCATAATTATGTCTCCATCTTCAGGTTAAATCTCTGCTCCACATTCATGTCGAACCAGCTGTGGCTGACGGCTGAGCTGAAAAACGTGATGTTATCAGCAGAGTTCTACGTGGCTGCACCGCACTGGTCTCCAGGTGAGGCAGCCGCACCTCCACCTGCCTCAGTCACTCACCTGCCGATATGACACATTAGCGCTCGGAGCCGCTCGCCTCCTTGGAGAAAATGCCCCCCCCCCCCTTCACCTAATGATCGCGTTCAACAAGAAATCCTCCAGAATGCTGCAGGATCTGTGTCTGCCTTTCTCCTGAGCGGTAAGTCTTGTGCGAGTGTTTGATTGCGTACACGCGTTCGTTAACTCGTTTTTAGACTGAGAAACTCCGACAGCACAAGCGGAGGGGGGAGTTTAGGGGAGCGGCGTCTATCACTGCCTCAGTGCCGCTCTCTCGGTCCGCCAGGCGACACCTCTTTCAGAAGAGTTTTCCTAACAGGAAGTGAGGATGAAATAAGTCTCCACCCATGCCTTGACACTCACTTTAAACATGAACGGTCATTTTATAGATGGTTGAAGACTGCGTTTATCTGGGAAAAGCTTGTAGGACCCATAACGTTACTTTCACATGGTGTAAAATAACAGAAACTCACCAGTGCAGCCGGAGTGCATGCAAAAAGGCTGACAGGCCTTCCATGATGAGAAGAATGGCAACTGTGAGCACAGCAAAGAAGAAAAAGACCAGGGACAGAACGACGAAGCCTCCGAAGTTTGCGGAGGAAAGACCAATGTGCATCACCATGGACCACAGCACCTCTGACAGCTCTGTGCAGAAAACAGTGAGGGCAAAAGCCTGGATGTGAGAGAGCACACAACACGGAGATTCTCCTGCAGTGTGTTCTACTGCTGCCTTACGTGCATGAGCCAGGCTGAGGGCCCAGAGCCTGAGATAGGAAGCAGTGTTGGAGATGCAGCCCAGGCAGTACTCAATAGTGTGGATCGCCTGGTGAACAGCCACGTCGGCAAAGTCAAACTGTGGGGAAAAGTATCCATTAGTCAGCAAGAGGCTTTAAATAAATGTTTTTATCACAGGTTCAGAGGTCCAGAAAGGACGACTTTGGTTCACAGCATGATAATCCCAGTAACGGACAGGGATACCGTTGGCTATCGGATTAACAATCCCAAATTAGTAGAGGCATTGCTATCTCAGGGCTTCGTGAACCATAAAAGAGCGGGTTCTGCTGATGCCTCATGCACACCGAGACCACAGGGCAGCACTGATCTAGCAACACCCACCAGCTAACACAAGCACCCCCACAACCAACACAGCTAACAGCAGCAGGCAGATGCAGCGGTACATGCACAGTGACAGAAAGGGGAAGAGGTGCAGCGTGAACTCCTGTCCTACCTCTTTCTCCTCACTCGCCTTGAAAGCAGGTAACAAAACGCAACGCTTTGTTATTGACCACACACACACACAAACACACGGATACATTAACAGACAATTAACACAGGAAAGAGGCCAGTTACACATCTATAAAGAAGGTGGAAGCAGCTTTAGAGCATGCCAATGTTCCACACACACACAGTCAAAACAAGCTATAAGTGATCCTTTCAGTTAGAAGGTCCGAGCTAAACTAGTCACCTAAATGTGTTGAACCCTCATTTGTTCAAACCATTTTCAGTGGTCTCTTGTAGCAATGGATGCTTGTAAGTCATACTCAGGGAAGCGGGGGCCAGATGCGCTTGTATCAGCATGGAGGAGTCGGCAGGAGGAGAGAGTGGCAGAACATGGCAGGACTTGGGTGGACATCTCTCCTCTGATTGGCCAACAGCAACATGACTCTACCATTGCATGTTTACTTTGCAATGTCGATGTTTCATCTCCACTGATAACTCAAGCCTGAAGGAGTTGTGCTGTATGGTGAAGTTGCTAATGCTAACAGTTAGCTTCCACTTGTCGAGACGTTCTCTGCGGTTTGCTGAACGTTAAACCAACATCAGCCTTCCCGACTGACGGTGTGACGTAGATCTGGCAGGCTTTTCTAATCCTAGAGTTTCACCGTCTATTTTCTATCAGAAGCTACTACAGGAGATAGTCTCCTACACCTATTTTCATGTTCAGCCTGCATGAAAAACTCACGGATTATTTTTTTTAGTGTTCCACACCTTTAATGATTCTAGAGCTGCATGATGATGGAACAACGTTCCGCTTATAAACAGATGAGCACAAACCGTCTGGAGAGCAGGGATATGCTTTAAATAAAAAGACACCATCTAGAGAAACCCCTTGTTGCCGGTGCAGGCGCTTATCCATAATGGATGATTTGCATTGCCACAGTGGAAATGGAAACATGAGTTTCTGTTTCCAGCAACTATAGAGTAACTGAATTATTCAAAACTGGATCCTGTTACTGGTCTCTCAGTCTGTAGTCATGTCTGCCTCTCACGAAAACACCTGAGAAGCTTTTGAACACAAGTGATGTCAGCATTGAGACGGCGTCTGATCTACCTCTGGTTCATCGTCGGACTGCTGGGCGAGCTGGTCATGCTGGATGATTTCAGCTTCATCCTCAGTGGGACCATTCCCCACCCTGATCCCTCCAAAGTTCTGCGTACCCTTTCAGACGCAGAAAAACGGTCAGCTGAATGGAAGTTTGTCACTTGTTGGGCTCAGAGGAGAATCAGTAGCGCCGTCTTACCAAACGTTTACGCCACAGATGCTGTCTGCGTAGAACCAGAGTTTTTACTATCAGCATACAGGGAACACAAGTTAAGGCCAACAACACCAAGAATATTTGGAGGCCCATCTAGAAAAAGAAGAAACACATTTTAATGGCTATCCTGTGTAACGTGATGAAGGAGCCATTTCTCCCCTCTAACAGCTGTTCTGTTTGATACAGTGTCAGTGTGCATGAAACAGCCTCAAGGTCATGCATTCACATCTAATGTTTACATTCCAGCAGTGAAGACAGGAGAACGAAGAATGAGCTCTTTTCTTTTAATTAATCAAAGAACTCCATTTTAATAAAGCTAATCAAAACAACTGTTAGTCAATAATAACCACGTGACCGATCTGTGAAATCACAACGTTATGGTTAATGTTTAATAAGGAAATGACGTATTCTAGCCACTAGTCAGCTGATACACAAGATAACTAACTAATCATGACACATTCCGGTCGCAAATCCAATCAGAACCTTCACTCTGAAGCGTGGCAGAGTCTCTGTGGTGTTTATTTAATCTGTCAGCTGTGATTCGTCCAGAATCGTAAACATCAAGATTAATAAGTCAGAACAACGCCACTTTGAGTTCAGTATTCAGCCAGCTCTCTAGATCCTCTGAAGTTCATCATTGCTAGGTGGAGTACGGACCGGCCATCTGTACTTTTTACTTTTAAGCTGAGAACTGCCAAGCTGGGAAATCCTGTCGTTGTTATCAACAAAACAACGGTTCCTTCAGAATAAAAGCTGAACTCGCTGACCCAAAGAGGGTCCCTTTGACGCTGTGAAACACCTGCCGCTTTTACCTGGAGACTATCTAGACTGGCTTGTCGTGCTGAGGACGCCGTTTCATCGGCTCCAGTACCAGTGGAAGGTCGTGAACCTGGCAGCCTGATCTGAACGGAGGTCTCACTGACGGGTAATGTAGATCGGCACAGATAGCGTCTCATGTGTTTTCTGACCACGGTTCAAACGTTGATCAGTTAGGAGCAAAACAACATCTCCCACTCAGACTCGCTTCTCCCGAACGGAGGTTCTGAATTGACATTGCACCAACACACACTCCACCTCACATTCCATTCCATCAACATCCATCACTAGAGAGTTAGTCCTGTTAAACTGTTTCAATCATTTAGATAATAAATTCTTCATAAACGTTTGGAGGTCTCTCTCTCTCTTCTCTTGTCTCTCAGTTCATGCAAAGTGTATTTAATTTCCCTGTAATAAAAAGAACCACTCTCCTGATTTTAAAAGCCCAGTGTCCAGAGATGGGGTCCATGCCAGATATGGATCAGTAATATCTCTGGTCATTAATTAAACTGTAATTCTTTATCATCCATTACACCTGCTGGGATCATGTCTAATCATAAGAGAAAGGTTAACGTGTCTGACCTGCCCTCTGTAAAGAGGCCTGTTAGTGTAGTCGAAGAGGAACATGTTGATGAAGGCGATGAGGAGGCTGGGAGCATCTTGGGAGCTTTGAGCATCATAAGCGACCCACTTATAAAAGATCAGAATGACCAAGTAGCCAAACAGGGTGGACATGAAGATGAGCTCCGGGATGAATGACAGGTAGATGTTCAGTGGCTTTTTAAAATATCTGCAGGAAACCACAGACATTTGGTCACCATAGTAACAACACACACACACACACACACACAGAAAATAGAACAGATGGTTTTAAATAAATAAGTGGAAATCTCACAGGTGGTTGAAGAGACTGAGAGTGACACCAAATATCATGTGGATGACTCCCAGGACAACAGACATCTTCATCTTGAAGGAGTTCAAGAACGTCAGCTTGTTGATAGAAATACTCCAGATCTGAGAAGACGTTCAATCACAGGAGAAAAAATAAACAAGCCTCAGCAATAAGATGATGTGAAACGGGTCATTTCAATAATGGATAGTGAAGGAAACCATTTACAGGATCTATGCCAATGGGGTATGGTCCATTAAACACTCCTGCTACCGCTGGATCCAACTGCAGAGCTGAGCTGCCATGAAGGGTTGCATCCCTGAAGGCAACCAGAAGAACACACAGACATCTAGTTTGAACTGCAGCTCAAGCCGTTTTTACAGGACCATAGCGTTTGCAAAACGGGATTTGCCGCGGCTCCCTGGGGAGGATAAAGGTGGTTTATAAGATCAGACCGTGGCGGTTATGTGGCGCAATCGTGGCAATTTTATAAAAGACTAGGTGATGGTGGCATAAAGGGGGTATGGGGGCGGTCTCTGCGCTGCCGCAGACTTCCGTTCATCTGGGACATAACTTGCTTTTTATTGCGATTGAAGCCGTGATCGATAAGTGTTTTTTAACAAGCATCAGCCTTAAAGGCGTCTGTCCCCATCAGTCCCTGTGCAGTCTCTGGTGACCTGAGCTTCAGCTCTAACAGAGAGGCTCATGCAGCGCTGCGGCGCTCCAGTTTGACATCTAAGCTGACTTTGTTCAAAAAGCAAACCTTACCGCCTGTGTTTACTTTCATTTTCAATAAATTTGCCAGCCGGAGCTCAGCAATAACTCCCCACGTCAACATGACATCTGCCTCTGTTGCGCCAGGGCGCATACGACAGACCATTACCGCAATATTACTACCAAGCGAGGCGGAACAAATGCCGCAAAATTCGCGCAACGCCATGCCGGCATGGCGCGTTTATAGACATATCATTGCGGTAATATTACGCCGATTTGCCGGCATGGTGTGTCTTGTAAAAGAGGCTTCAGAAACATAAAACTCCTTGGTTCTCGCTTCACTTAGCAAATGGTATTTGGAAACGTACCTCCTGTGCATCAGCAGACCTGCCTGTACACATTATATAGCAATAAACTGTAAGAAGAACTATACTACAGTACTGTAGTGGAGTAAAGTTTAATATGCAAATAATTATCCCAAAAAAATAAAATAAATAAACAGTAAATCTACATCATGGAAGACATTAAAACAGGGTATTTTTACCCACCAGTAAAACCTTGTAGCAGTTATTAATGACACCAGAATCAATATTTTAATCCCTTCTTCTTCAAGACTTACGACCAGTTGGCTCCTTTACCACCGAACATGGGTCTGACGCTCCACCCGGAGCCAAAGATGTTTAAGGCCTTTGAGAAGCAGTCGTTGTAAATGATGCCAGTGTACATGGAGAATATTCCCATCAGCAGGATGATGTAGCGCCCTGAAAACACCATGCTGAACATCTGCAACGACACGATGCACAAACACATGAACGTGATTCTCTAACGGGGATTCCAGGAGGCTGCCGGCGCCGTGCGCATCATCAGAATGATGCGATTCTCACCTCGTTGTCATTCTTCTGGGCTATCAGTCTGGTTTCTCTCAACACCAGGTACAAAGCAGCGCAGGCCATGAGCGTCCCATGGCCCAGGTCACCAAACATGACAGCAAACAGGAAGGGGAAGGTGATGATGGTGTATGGTGCTGGTGGTGAGGACGCAGGAATCGCACGAGGACGGGAGGGTATGGAACATGAAACAACAAATGAGACAACATTTTCTGACCCGGTAATGATTATGATATGGATGAGGCAGCTGAGGAAAATGCTTTTCCTTTAAAGCATCGGGGCCCACACGGGTGACCTACGGGTCAGATATGGTACTGTTAATGGAAGGAGCGTATGCACCTGGGTTAATCTCGCGGTAGTTGCCAATCCCATAAGCATCCACAATGTTTTGGAAGCCTGAGGTGAACTTGTTTGTCTTGTTGTAAGTGGGCGGGGTCTGTTTGGTCTGCATTCGGTTGAGAATGGAAGGCACAGTGGAGCCACTCTTCTCCTGGATTAAATAAAACATGAAACAAACCATAACGCGCGCTGGTTTATAGAACCGGAATGGATCTATAAATACTTCTGTCCACAGCTCGACTCACCGTCCCCCTTCGCAGGGCGAACTGAATGGAGTCCAAGTCAGAGACAGGACACCACACCTCGGCAATCAGACACTTCTGTGTGACGTCTATGTTGCAGAGGTTGAGGGTGTGGTAGATGGCCTTCATCTTCCTCACTTTAATGAACCAGACTCGGATCGTCTTAGCAGCAGCCTGCAGAACTCTCTGCCTGTGATCTTCAGTCTGGTTCAGCACCTTAGGTGGAAAAAGCAGGGATGTTCAAATAACTGTCACTTCACTGAGCTAGAGAGAGAAACAAGCATGTTCTAGTGATCCAAAGAGCTGTTTGAGTTTGGAAGTGAAAGAAGAATTTCCCAGGCAGGTATAGTGCCGTTTGACTTTATGAAGAAGTGTAGATCAGCAAATAGCAGAACAGCGAGCAGCCACAGGCTCGCCTGCAGTTTAGAAAAGCTCCAATCATGGCTGGCTGCCGTCCAAAAAGCCTTACGTTCCTCATGTTTGACTCAAAAACTTATGTAGAAACAAGAACATTGAAAACTATTACTACCATCCCACACACCCTCGTGTGTCTGGCAAAAAGCGCAACACACTTGTCCAGCATTCGCAGATACCATAAAACAGTAAAACAAAAGTGTGTCCGAGGCAGTGAACTGTAGCAAAGGGGCACCACAAGGCACGGTCCTCTCACCCTTCCTGTTCAGGCTGTACACTTCCATCGTAATTCATTCACACCAGTGCCACCTACAAAAGTATTCAGTTGATACGACCATCATCACATGCATAACAGATGGGAATGATCAGGGATACAAGGGGGTCATCAGTGACTTTTGGGCCATTCCCATCCGTACCGGGTCGGCCTGGGCTGGGTAGCCCCAGTCGGCCCCAGCCTGGCCCGGTTGATTCCACACATCCTTGTCTTAAGCCCATGTGGGCTGATTCTACCCACCAATTAGAGGCTTGCTCTAATGGAAGGTGTGAATTTGCTGTCAGCAGTGGGTGTGTTGGCCCTGGCCGGCCTGAAGCAGACCCCCTCGAGAAATGGGCTGAGAATGAGCCTCGGTTGGCCCGGAAAAATACCAGGCCACCCAGATATGTAAACAACCTACGCTACCCAGCCCGGGCCGACCCGGTACAGATGGGAATGGCCCATTTGTCAGATGGTGTGAGACCAACGCTGTCCATATAAAGACAAAGGAGATAGTCACCCCTTACAACATTGATGAACATTCTGGGAAAAGACATTGAGATAGTGGACTCTCACAAGTACCTGGTGTTCTCCTCAACAATAAACTGGTCTACAAACACAGACGCCTTGTATGATGAAGGCCAGGGTCGACTCCGGCTGCTGAGGAGAATGAGGTCCTTCTGGGTATGCAGGACTCTGTTAAGGACTTTTGACCCGTCGTTATGATTCAGTGGTAGCATATGCAATTTTCTATGCTGTGGCTTGCTGGGGGAGCGGATGCACAGAGAGGAGCAGGAGCAGGAAGGAAAAACTGGTGCGGAAGTCTAGCTCTGTACTGGGATGCTCTCTGGAATCGGTGGTGGTGGTGGTGGGAAAGAGGAGGATGTTGGCTAAGCTGATGTCCATCGTGAACAACCCCACATCACCCTATGAATGAGTAAGTGGGCACGCTGAGCAGCTCCATCATTCAGAGACTGATACACCCCCACTGCAGGAAGGAGCTCTTCTGCAGATCGTTCATCCCAACAGCAGTTAGACTTTATGACGCATCACGATGTCACGAGTGACTCAATCACTTTAACTCTACAGCCACCACTCCATGCATAATGTACCTGATATAGGTATGAACATGTGCTTGTATACAGTGTGTGGGTGGATGTATATATGTGTGTGGGTGTGTGTGTGTACATGTTCATGCCCATCATTTTTACAATTACCCCCGCAGTGGGATCACTAACGTCTTAGCTTATAAGTAGATGTAAAACCACCACATGGATGAACGTTTAGGGCCGAAATGAGCAAGGTGGATTTCCTTGGGCCAAGTCCTCTTACTGCCAGTAACGAGTCACTGGCAAGGTCACAACACCCCATGGCTACAGCTGTAGCTTCAGAGGGAAAACGGCCAGTTAGAGAGCAAAAAAACATCTCTTAATTACACTGAACAAGTGTAGAAAACCTCAGAAACGTAAAGAGGAAACATGTACTTCCTTCATTCTTTGGAGAATCTCTTAGTTAGTGATCTTTCTTACCCATCAGAATTTAAGGAAGTGCCCCTGAGGGCTTGGTTTAAAAGCTCAGGTGTCGTTTTGTCTGAACGTTTATTCACCATTTGAAGATCATCAATTCGAGCATTCACTCCTGCCAGCATCTCTTTTCTCTCCTGGGGGGTTTCTGGACACGGGTACAGCGTTGCTCTGAATCTAAGAAGAGATCATCCGTGCAAAAAGGACCCGTTAGTAAATAACCGTCTACACAATCCTGACGAGTGCTTCAGTCACTCACCCCTCGCAGATTTTCTTGACTCTACTCTTGAGCTGGTCTCCCTGGAAGAATATGATGAAGACAGACTTGTGGACATGGTCGCCCTGTGGAAACATCGTAAAGTTAGTTTGTTTGTAAAATAACGATCAAATTCACAGTGAATGAAAAGGACTGACTGTAGTGGGGTCCTCCAGAGGATCTTCAATGTTAGCCTGTCGCAGGAACACGTTTCCTCTGCAAACTCTCCACAACATCCTCTCAAACGTGGGAATGCGCTCCCTGCCGATGACTCCAGCCACAAAACTACGATGGGAGGAAAACACCAGCGAATGTCAACAACCGGTCTAATCAAAAACAACTCCTGTCTGATGTAGTTTCTGAAAAACAGGACAATTTTAGAGATTTTATGTTAAAGTTTTGGATGTGCTTTAAGAGCCGCTTCTTTTTTTTAATTCAGGGTTTTAGGAAATATTTCTAAGTATTTAGTTTGTTTTATTGGGAGTTTTTCAGATAACCTTGACTGGTGGATGAGAGTGCCTGGATGTGGGAAGATTTTAGCTAGTTTCAAACACAGATGGTTGAAATGCTTAATCCTCTTCAGTTACAGAAGTTTACCAGTCACACTCACCCTAATCTGAGTGGAGCCACTTTGTTAGGATCATTGGGGTCCAACAGAGTAGATGACTCCTCCAGTAAACTGGGATCCTCCATCTGCAGAAGAGCCAAACAAATCCTTTACTGCATCCCGTCAACACACTTGTAGCTGTATTACAGAATAAACACAGGCATAAAACCTGTTCCTACAACATTTTCAGTTTTTACTTTGAGCTGATTCTTAGGTTGGAGAATGATCACTCTGTTTGCTTCAAACATAAACGGTACTTTTCTCCCATTACAGGCTAAACAACTACTCCTTTGTTCAATGATTCACCCCAATAAGAGCTTAAAACAGCTTGTAAAAGGTGCCTCGTCGCTGTCAGCTGACCGAGCTCGGCTGGTGAAGGCAGTGGAGCGTAAACGATGATGGGCAAAGGTAGACGGGCATGAAGATACTTTGGCATATAAAGATGGTGCTTTTAATAAAGCTGGAGTAATGCACCACACAGCAACAGAAGCACATGGAATATGACCTATGGATGTAAATCAGCCGCGGTCACGTGAGCAAGTGTGAAAGGTCACGAGGGAAAACACCTCTGGCCAAATCGAGAGTTATTAATGCGTTTTGTGCTTCAGAGACACGAGCGGCACAGACAGCTTAGCTGTAATGTCCGGATTTAGATGAAAGCAAAAGAAAAAGATTCAGATGGATTTATTTTATTTTCTGCTGCCACAACAAAAAGCTCATGATGTCATTTTACTGTTTGCACATTTATGAAATGACCTGCAGGGTGCTTTAGGACGTTAGAACAGAAACAAGTCAAAGTCACCCAAAAGGAAGAGCTCTGGGTTTTCTGAGGTCTGTGAAAACAATGACACTGACCTCGTCAAAAAACTGCTGCGTACGATGCAGAATGTGCTTCAGCTCCGTCAATTCCAGGAAGTTCTTCTTTAGGGCCTCTTGGTTTGTGTTTATCTCCTTCAGTTCGTTCTCGAGCTTCTCAAACGTGGCCTGGGAGGGAAGAGGGGTGTCAACAAGAGTCAGGAGAGGAGAAAACACGAGAGGGCTCCACTAATAGATGAAACAATAACCTCCAAGTCGATCATGTCTCTAGGAAAAGGAACTTCGGGGTTCTCTCCTGTGTCGAGCACTTGGATGTTGGCCCGCTTGATTTCCTTTTCCACAAATCCTGCCAAAGACAAACCGTTTTGCCAGGACAGGTTACAAAAGTCAACAAGACACACCTGTTGCGCAACAGAAAAATGCTCATTCTGTACACAGAAGCTAACTGGCAGCAACCGTGATGCAATCAAAGTTATTCTTATTTCTACATTTAATATATATTTTTTTAAACTGTTTAGATAAGAAATTTCCAAACTCACTCAGTTTTCGATCCATCTCTTCACATCGTCGCACTTCGTTGACAAATTTCCGCTGGAACACGTTCACATCTGGATTTAACTGCAAGTGGAAAGAAATGAAATGTATAGGCAGCTCAATATACTCATTAGTAATGCCGTTTACTGCCCTGAGTGAGTCTCATGTTTTTACTGGATGAAGCAGTCACCGTTACCACATCCTAGATCCAAGCACAAAGCTCGCCTGTGGGCTTGACAGGGACAAACCCTCTCATGCTTGGAATGACGGGTCAGCTGTGAGCACATGATGCAAAAGGCCTGCACTGTCTCAAAAGTATTAGTGATCTGGCTGATTTTAATCACTAACAAATAACAAAAATCATTACTTGCGTGTAATGTTTTAGAAAAATAAAACTTGAAAAAGAAAACAAAAAGGACACGGCCTGGCTTAAGAATAATAAAACATACAACTGGACTTACATCTCGAAACTGCACCATCCCAATTTCTCCCAGTTCGCTGACACAACAGTAAGCTGCTTCTGACTGGAGGAAGAGCTGAGCCAGCGTCATCTCTTCACTTCTGAAGAGTTCGCCCATGATGATGATGATGGATGAGAGCGATCAGCACCCTTAAATAATCAACCGGGATCTCTGAAAACCAAACATTCGTTAGTGAAAATCAGCATTTAAAGGGTGTGTGTGATTTAAAACTTTGCCTTTGTGTATTTTTAAATTTGAGTTTAAAATCTGCTGTTTTATGCTGCCATGTTGATTTTGTGATTTATGTTCCTGCTGATCTTGCACACTGAATTGCCTTTAAGGTCTCTGAGAAGTGACAAGGGAATTAAAACAGTTAAGTGTTACTTTTACACCATTGTGAAAATGATCATGTGACCTAAAGAAAATACATCAGCAAAGCTTCACTACACCGATCTCATGATCAGTGCAGGAATGTTGGGATGGCATGCTGGGGCTTAGTTGATTTAGCCCAAGAACAACTTAAAACAGTTTGTTTCGCGAGGTAATTTAACTGAGCACGTCAGGATTTTCCAGATACCCAGCAGCTAAACAGCATATAAACTACCCCACAGGGATTACCTGAGGATTACAAGGCGGCATGTGACCTGTGTTGGGCTCCTGAATGTTACAGCAGCTCCATCATCAGTGACAGTCAGATTGGAAGGTAAATGAACCACGCCTTCTGAACGATTTATATTTAGATTTGTAAACATTACGCTGTGGCTATATTCAGATCCCCCTATAACCTTGAATGCAAACACCGAAACGCAATGTCACTTTCAAATCAACCTGCAGCTCGGTCTTATGAAGCTAATGAACTGATATCATGTTGGTAACGTCAGACATTGCCTAGCTAAAGAGACCTAGGGAACAGCGCCTAAGCGTAGAACAGAACTTTGCTACAAAAAACAATAAACAAAATATTTCAAATGGCGTTAATGAACATTTTCTCTCACGCTTTGTTGCTAATTGCCAACTTACTTTAAACACTAGTTAAAACCAAACAAAACAGTCCGTGGCTGTTTGAGTGAAGCTAGCACGTCCTTAGCACACCTGTTGAGCACTAAGTTAGAGACACATGACGCAAACGACGGAATAAAACACTATAGTTTAGCTAAACTTACTGTTCAGATGAGGATTCGCGCTCCCGTTCTTCTGCACGGCCTCATTTAATGGACGTTTGTTTTGGGTCTGCGAGGGTGTCCACTCGACCTTTCAAAGCGGAACAAGTATCAATTGACGTTTTCACAGAGTCACGTGATACAAACAACGACTGGCTATTGGTCAAGAGACTGTTACTGTCGATTGCTCAACTTTTTAATGAAATTTTTATTTTGAAAATCATCACCGGAAACGGACTTGTTAAAACCCAGTATTAAGTGAAAAAAAACTTGCCGTTAATTTTCACCTGGACACATTAATGTCACTAGTTTACTGTAATAAAAATGAAGTGCTCAAAGTGCACATATACTGAAATGCAAAATTACAGCCAGACACTGCTCTCTAGTGGTATTAACACACAATTATTTTTAAAATGTTCTAAAGTTTTTGGATCCATCTTCTGATGGCTACTTCCACCAGCATAAAGCACCTCAGACTTCCAGTACAAATCAGAGAGACCTGTCATCTACAGAAATACTCAGATGACTCTGCAGTTGTCGGGTGTATCAGAGATGGACAGGAAGCTGAGTACAGAGAGGTGGTGAAGCGCTTTGTGGCGTGGTGTGGAAACAATCATCTGACCTTGAACGTGAACAAAACAAAGGAGATTATTTTAGACTTCAGAAGAAACAGGGTGGAGTCAAACACTGTTTCCATCATGGGAGAAGAAGTGGAGGTGGTTAAGGAATACAAATACCTTAGAGTTCACCTGGACAACAGACTGGACTGGAGAAAGAACAGCGAAGCCGTTTACAAGAAGGGACACAGCAGACTGCACTTCTTGAGGTCGCTTAGGTCCTTCAATATCTGCAGCAAGATGCTGCAGATCTTCTACAAGTCTGTTGTTGAGAGTGTAATCTCTTCAGCCATCGTCTGTTGGGGTAGCAGCATCAGAAGCAGGGACCTGAAAAGGCTCAACAGCCTAATAAAAAAGGTTGGTTCTGTTCTGGGGATGACTGTGGAACCACTGGAGGAGATAATGCAAAGAAGGATTCTCCAGAGAATCAAGAAAATTATGGACAACCCTGAGCATTCTCTTCACAAGACTGTCCGACAACGGAAGAGTGTCTTCAGTCAGAGGCTTCTTCAGTTTCGCTGCAACACTGACCGCTACTGGAGATCCTTCCTGCCAACAGCCATTGTAATATACAATAACTCTTTGATGACTTGATTATTATTATTATTCTGAGCTACTACAGCAATCAATTTCCCTCTGGGATTAATAAAGTATTTTTGAATTGAATCTGAATTGAATTTAATTGAATGTCACAAAGCTCAGATCATCTCTAACCAGTTTCTAGAACATGTCCACGAGTTCACTGGACTCCAACAACCTCCACACTCGCCAGATGTGGGTCCAGTCCAGAACCTTTGTGATGTGGTGGAACAGCAGATTCCCATCATGGATGTACAGCAGACAAATCTGCAGCAACTATGTGATGTCATCACGTACTTACACACACTGTTTGCCTAAAATTATAAAACCGCCAAAGTATCAAAGAGGAAACAGAAAATAAAACAGCAACAAAAGCAAAGAAGATTGTCTGCAAAAACACATCAGCACACTTCACACAGCAGAGGGACCAGGCCTGTATCAGGCTACATAAACTACTCATGAAGTTTCAGATGTATTTAAATAGACTGGAGTCAAATACAACACCAGAGGTTTTGTGTAAATATTACATTATTGCATTTTAACAGTAATAAGTGTGAAAGTCCAGTTTTAGTAGCTTAATAAGAAAAAACAATAAACACACCGAAGAAACAAAACAGAGCTAAAACAGATTGTGTAAATAGTCGGATAAAACTTTACACTTTCATGCTTATTAGGACTCATAAGATGAATCTCATGTTGCGTAATACAGGAGATGAACAGTGGAGCCTTTTAGTGCTTTTCTGTTCAACAGTATGGAAATGTACCTGGATTATGAAAGAAAACAATGAAAATGTAAAGTAAATGAACCCAGTGAACAAAGAATAATTTGTTTTCTAAAATATTTGCCTGCAGTATTGCTTTAGGTGAGATGATGTATAGACGTGGTTCATTTACAATGTGTCAGTTGTTTTATTCATTCCCTTTAAATTACATTTATGATTAAATTGTAAAAAATAATTCTAAGTACTGACTGCATAAATGCTTATAATCACCCACAACAACATGTGTTTCTTTTTATTGGAGCAACTCTAACATTCTATTCTTTTATTTTCATTTGGATGTTTTGGAAGATACTATCCGGTTTTAAAGCTACGCAAATGAAACAAATGCTCATCAGGTGGACCTGTTGCATTTAACGGGTATCTAACAGGATAGCTGTTTGCACAGGGTTCCCCCTAACCTCTGACTTAGATGGTATATGCACGTCTGCTCTGTTTCATGCTTTTGGTGTATCGGACACGCCCAGTCTCACCATCTCTCAATCAGTTTTGGTGCACCAGATTTCACCGTAGCGTCCCACACATCACACATAACGGGAAATGCTCTTACTTTCCTGACTAGAATGTCATCCAAATTAGGTCCAACTATTCAGGCGTGTGCACGTGTGTGTGTGTGTGTGTGTGTGTGTGTGTGTGTGTTGTCATTGTATTTTTCCAGTGATTTTCTCTATTCCTTTTGATCTCTCCTCAGTTCTCCACCCATTCACGTATTCCATCGTCACATACATTCACGAGTCACTTTGAGTCAGACATGTCACCATGATGTCTCCTCATCACTTCATTCACTCCTGTTACGTTCCAGAGATTTCATGTTTATTTTCACAAAGAACCAATAAACGTAATGGTATCGCAGCCAAGTTGATTTGTGAATAATGTCCTGGTTTGGAAAATATCCACCATGACTGATCGTTCTTGATGTTGCTCCAAAGTCGGCTTGTGTTGTCAAAACAAAAAACGAGAAGGAAGAATATTTTTCTAAATGTTCTCCTAACAACAAACAATAAAAGAACAAGTCAGTCATCGATGCATAAATATCCCTATGAGCAGCTAATAAAAACAGTGTGTCATTTAAATAGATGGTAAACAGCTTTATGGGTCAGCAGTAGCACAACAGGTTGAGCGGGTTGTCTAGTGATCGTAAGGTTGCAGGTTCGATCCCGGCTCCAGACACTGAATTCTGTTGTTGTGTCCTTGGGCAAGACACTTAACCCACCTTGCCTGCTGGTGGTGATCGGAGGGACCGGTGGTGCCTGTGCTCGGCAGCCTCGCCTCCTTCATTGCACCCCAGGGCAGCTGTGGCTACATCGTAGCCCATCACCATCAGTGTGTGAATGTGTGTGTGAATGGATGAATGATACACTGTAGTGTACAGCGCTTTCGAGGCCTTTCTCTGAGAGGCGCTATACAAGTGGGGGTCATTTATCATTTATCATTACAATGTACTTTAAACCTAATTATCGATCATCTAACATTACTAAAACAACTATATAGTAAACAGCTGTATTTATTATGTAAACAGTAGTGGAGAAACAAAACGGGCTCTTACCACCAGCAGATCCTCCACCAGAAGGCAGCAGACATGCATGGGACTGGATATGACAGGTTTTTGATGAAAGTACTAATCCTGATGCTCCATCTGGATGCTTTAAAGCCGGATGTTGTTTGAATAGTTCTCACATATAAGCCACAGGCTTGAACTCTTGTGTGTCACTCATCAGCTGCATTCTGGACATTCAGCATCCACCTGGAAGCTCAAGCCAAAGTAACCTTACACTAAAACCTCCCCCTAGTGGCTGTTTCCAGTATGGGTCCCACTCCTCTTTGTATGTTAACGATACTGATGAATGACCCACATTTGTACATTCAGGGTCAGAGGACTCCAAAGATCCAAAAATAAAAAATATAAATATTACAAATCAAATAATTTTTCCAAACCAAAACACACAACACTGCTCATTTAAACCTCTGAGGTTTCACTTTCAGTGGAGGGAACAATGTTTGGACTTGCTGTACTCAGAGCTCACGGATACCTACTCAAGGGCTTGAGCTGTACACACACACACACACACACACACACACACACACACACACACACACACACACACACACACACACACACACACACACACACACACACAGGACTCAGATTCATGTTTGAGAAACTTTATTTTCAACCTGCAGCTCTCTCTCTCTCTCTCTCTCTCTCTCTCCATCCTGGATTGAAAGACATTGAAAGATAAGATCGGTATTCCATCAACCTTTTACAATAACACCCTTTTAAAATGTTATTTTTTTTACTCGATTCAATCTACAAAATCTAAAAACTAATGAAAAAGTAGAAAGTGAAAATCATTCTTTAACAGAAGGCTTTACCTATAAGTGACAAATAAATAAACAAATGAAATCAGCAGCTCCGTTTTCACTGACGCACAGATGGATAAACGTGTTTCTATTGGGTTGTGTGAAGTAACCAATATCCGAATAGCAGTTGTTTTGTACTGTTTGATTTTGTCTGCATGAACTTTTACAATAGTTTTGTAGTAGAAACACTAATTATTTTTTTCAAACACTGTTTTGTTGCGTTGAAAGAATGGGGAATTTGCGCCCTCTGTTGGCTAAAAACGGAACAACTGGGTTCCAACAGCATTTAGAAAGAAGGGAAGACTGGGAGTTGCTGCCTTCCAGTGTCTGAAAGCTGTTACTACACTTTGTTCTGCCATTTAGAAGAGAATATTTAGCCTCCTTATCTTAATGAAGCCTTAAAATATCTTAATACTCTTTCTTTTTGTCTTCTTGGGAATGTTAATATTAAAACTGAACGTGTAGCGCTCCGACTTGGAGAGTGGGCACATTAGCATGAAGCAATGTGTAGCTCAGCTCGAGAAATTGGAGATGTGGTGTGAGAACGTGTGAAGACAGTCAAAGTGTTTGTCTTACAAACTCATTGCGTGAGTGTTGACAGCCCTGTAACTATGCTGTGTTAATGCTAAACCCCAAACCCCAAAGGAATCTTAGGGTGATTTGTTTTATTTTGAAGGAATCTACAGGAAGTACCAATGACTTGTTTGGCTTTATGAATTCTGCCTGTACTAACAAATTTTGTCCGCTAGAGGGTAAAAAAAATGCTAAAACCAGACGTTGAAGAACTGAGTTCTGGTGTTTTCATCCAGTTAATCTAATAAAACACATAAATCCCTTATAGACAGCGTATGTGGCCCTCAGTTAAATCAAACAACAGATTACAAGTAATTTTAAGTTTTTTTTAGGCAAAGAACTAATAGTAAACACAATTTGCATTTAAATTCTGTTTCTGGCTACTTTTGTTATATTAGGTATTTATTTAATTGTTTTGAGTACTTTATAAATTCATCGTAAAATCCAAATGCATTCACGCTTTTCTAGTTCAAAACAAGATATGTACCTTAAAAAACTCAGCCTGTGACCTTAGGATGCATGATTGATCCTAATGGTGGCGCAATTGTTAGCACTGTTATCTTGCAGCAAGAAGGTTGCAGAAACCCGGCTGCAGTCTTTCTGCATGAATTTGCATGTTCTGCCCATGCATGCGTGGGTTTCCTCCGGGTACTCCGGTTTTCCCCACAGATCACAACATGCCCTATAGGTTAACAATTGTACGTCACTTTGTCAACAAACGTCTGCCAAAAAAAATAAACATAAAACAGGTGATGTCTGAAAACTATCGGGTACGCTTGAAATATGTGTGACAATAAACACAACAGAATTAGTCACAAATATGTGAGTTGATGGGAAAACTGAACCACATTACTAAATTGTAAATGTCCTATATTTGCATAGCGCATTCAGGGTTCTACAACCCCCCAAGGCCCTTTACAACACAGTCATTCACCCATTCACACACTGGTGGCGTGAGCTACGATGAAGCCACAGCTCCCCTGAGGCACACTGACAGTGGTGATACCTGCCGTACACAGGCACTAATGGTCCCTCCCACCACCACCACCAGCAGGCAAGGTGGGTTTAGTGCCTTACCAAAGGACACAACAGCAGCATTCTCTGGTCAGAGCCAGAATCAAACCTGCAAACTTCGGATTACTGGACCACCCTGCTGTCATGATTCTCTAGGAGACTCTGGAGCGAACACACCCGGACACAGGAGAAAGTTTACCAGTTTTATTGAAAGTTCAGCGGGTTCTCAGAATGGTGGAGGAACTCTGGACGGGCTCGCAGAGGCGGTTCTGAAGAGGAAACAGAAGGCGAGTCGAGGAGCAAGGAGACTGTTCTGATAATAGAATTGAAGGGGGTGAGCTTACTGGTCTGCGTGGCGAGGAGTGTTTGGAGAGGAGGTGAGGTCCAGTGTGGGAGTGTGGCAGGCTGAGGTTGAGATTTCGCTGGAGGCTCGAGGGTGGACAGGCAGGTGGAGAAGAGGGGGATCCAACAGGGCATGGATGACAGAGCTGAAGCACTGCAGCCAGGAGGAGCACTGGGTGAAGCAGACACCACGGTTCAGGGAAGACGCTGGGAGATCCTGGGAACTCAGAAGGTCGGGACGGCTGCGAGACAAAACATCACTCGTGAGAAAAACACTGGGAAGCGCAAGGAAGCACAGAGCTGACCTGATTACCAAGCTGTGTGGCTTAATCATCTGGCATCTGCTTTCCTCCTCCGGCCTGCTTTTAAGTGCTCCACCTTAATTGCCTCTGATCGATGGCGCCTGGTGCGGCCTGCCTGTCACACCTGAGGAGAAGAGGTGAGGATCCACACACACACACACACACAACAGACCCTCACACCTGCTCTACCTCCTGAGCTACTGCTATCCCTAAAATGAACTATAATGACAAATGGTTGAAGACTCTGGTTATTATTCCCAAAACAGATGATGGCCAAAAACCATCTGTTTTCATTCATGTTTGTTCATTCTGGTCTGTCAGTTTTCAAAATTTGTTAAAAAAAATGTGTATGCTTTTTGAAACAACGTATAAATGATAGACGTTTTTCATGAAATGCTAAGTCTTATTAGCCATCACACACTGGTGCAATTGCATCTCAGCATTTGACCCATCCCTGTGGGGACCAGGAGCTATTTGGTGGTTTAATCCCCAAATCCAACCCTTTTAAAGCTGAGTGCCAATCAGATTGGCATTGGGTCCCGTTATTAAAGTCTTTGGTAGGACTCGAATTGGATTTGAGCCCTGATCTCCCAGTCCAAGGACAGACGCGCTACCACTAGGCCACTGGGAAAGATTACAGGTTTGACTGCCGCACCTTTATTTTGTTGGACTCTGTTAACATTACTGTTTTCAAAATCTGAATGACCTTAAAGATTATACAAGGCGTTGCAGACAAACGTGACCACAACATCAAAAGTACAAGAAGCGAGTCCGTGGGAGAGCAGCTGATTTCAGATGTTGTCTTGTTTTCAGGATCTGACTGTGCTTCTTTATATCGATTTATTTAGTAGACACTTTGTCCAAACCGATTCGAAACAGACTAAGTTAAATGCACGTTTTTGGCCAGTAGGAGGAAACTCACACATGCATGAAGAGAACATATTAACTCCTCTAAAGTGGCAAAGGTTGGAGCCAGGATTCAAGCCTGCAACCTATTTTGTTGCAAGGCAGCAGTGCTATGAGCTGCACCACCATGCAATCCTCCTTTCTGGTGTTTCCATTTCACCACAAGGAGGTAGAGGGCTTGAGAAATCCTGCAGCGTTCTTTTGGATGGAATGGGGTGGAGCCGAGCAGCAGGGGAGGTGCAGGGTGGAGGCCAAGTGTATGAAGGGAAACGTTTGACTGGGTGGTTTTACAGAGAGCAGAGGCATTTGAGTCAGGGCACACATGCTCGAGCTGTGAGAGGCCCCACTCCCCTTGGCTGGCTGGCATCCCAGAGTAAAGGCACACAGAGAGAGCGAGACAGAAGAGAGAAGTGAAGTCGAAGGCAGACTTGGAAGAGGTGAACAAGTGGCTTAGAACGTCGCAGTGGGGTGGTAGCTATGGCAGAAACAGGGGTCAAGAAGGAGCATGCAGAAGTGTCTTATGATGATGACGAGGTAGCCCTGGTTGGTGCTGCCGCAGAGCCGGCGGTGGACGACGACGACCCCGCCGAAGAGGGGGACCTTGCTTCTGGCTCTGGAGGCAAGAGCGAAGCTCAGATGAACGGGGTCATGGTTCTGTCCCTGCTGGACAAGATAATCGGGGTGGTGGACAAAATCCAGCACACCCAGAATGGACTCGAGGCTCGGCAAGAGGCCATGGAGAAGTCAGTGTCAACCATCCAAGGGGAGCTGGCAAAGCTGTCCAAGAACCACATCGACACGTCCAACACGGTCAACAAAATGCTGGACAAGGTGCGCAAGGTCAGCGTGAACGTCAAATCGGTACGAAGCAACCTGGAGAAGCAGGCGGGCCAGATCAAGAAGCTGGAGAGCAACGAGAGCGAGCTGCTCAAGAGGCGCAACTTCAAAGTCCTCATCTACCAGGTGAACGTTGAGGCAAATGCTGCCCCTTTATTATTTTCTCTGCATGCTTTTGATGATCAAAAGGTAAAATCTTAGACGTGGCTGCGAAAAGGGTGCGCTGCATTCCTCACATCCTCAGGGAAGTTTGGCAACAAGTGGGAAAATTCCATGAGAGAGTGTTGGGAAAGCCTCCTGACATCATCTCAGCAGACAGAGGCAAGCTGTGGCATGAGCCCACCCTTGTTTTTCAAAATGAAAAGGGGGACTGAGGGTTCTTTCACGGTGCAGGATGGAGCCCAAAGCACAGTGGTTTCCATGACATAAACGTTGGAATCGCTCGCTCCTAAAACCCCAGCGAGGCTGCTCAACACTGCAGCCCAGTATTTAGAGGGAGGATGCCTCCCCACAGGAGGAGAAAAATACAGTGGCTCCTGTGGAAAAATGAAGGCAGGTAGAGACCTCTTCCACTCCACAGGCGTGCACCATCACCCAGTGAAACTATATAAAGACTAGTGGTGGCAAATAAAAATAAAAGGCCTATAAACCCTGGCATGTGGGGCTACTCAAGACAGCACCAACGCCCCACTTGTGAGAGATCCGAGTACAAACAGCACTCCCATGTCAAGATGAAAACAGTGTTTTTCTCACACGAGTGGGAACACAATCGTGTAAGCAAGAGTGATTTTAACTTATGAGAAGACAAAGCTTGTCAATTTTCCATTAAACAGTCAACAAATTAAAAAGGAGCTCAGATTAATGGAAGGATCTCAGCTGGCAGCTCTGTCTTTAGCAGGCGTCGACACATTTCAGTTTCTAAAGTGGTTTTGTGCCACATGGCCGAAAACTGTTTATCTGCAGAAGCAACAACCTCATTCTAACCCCAGCTGGAAAAGCAGATGTGTTATCTAAAATGAACGCGTAGATCAGAAGTGTGTCATGAGTAGAGCTTCCTCCTGGATCTATATTCGCAGGCACCGCGAGAGCAGGTTACACCGATGGCATCCAGCAGAAATCCAATCACAGACATCCAGACCCCAATAAATAACTCTGTAAAGCAGGTGCCTCCTGCTGTTTGCAACTCTGCTGCAGGCCTTTTCGTCCGAGTCTCTGTGAAATGTTTAGTATTCATGTGGTGGAATCAAAAAGGATTAAAAGGAACGTTTTTAAACGCTCATCTCATTTTAGCTTGCAGAGGTTTTAGCATGGATCCACTGGTCTTTGCTGTAGCTTCTTCCTAGCAGTAGCTGCTGTGATCTATTTTTCATCGGGAGGGGGGCTGCATTACTTCCAGTTCGATTGACTACGAGATGTCACACGTTGGCTCTAAGACACATCTCACTACTTTCCACTGTCTTTGCATGTTAATGCCTCAGAGTGGGATAAGTTTAGAGTCAGAACTACGGCAGGACTGAGCTCGGGGTTACAGCGCGGCATGTGGAGGTCAAGGCAGACGCCCATGGAATTATTTAACCAGTGTGTGTGTGTGTGTGTGTGTGTGTGTGTGTGTGTGGCCATTCCTCAGCACTATTGGCTTTCACTTACAATGTGAAAGCTTGAACCGTAGTAATATAAGTAAAACGTTTAGCTGCACTCACACTCGTCTTTGTTGGTCTGACGTTTGCCAGCGGTAAGCTCGGGAGCAGCATTTCGGTCTCGCGGGACCTCGCCGATCACTCCGAGAATAGCCTTGCACTTCAGAGTTTCCGGGCCAAGAAGATGGGGAGGTTTTATATTTAACTCTGCCAGGATGTAACATTATCAGGCAACAGCGAGGCATGGAAATAAGGAAATAATTACCAAATGCAGATTAAATATCAGCCGTAGGCTTACATTATAGGGAGTCTGTCTGGATTCATCACTGTGGGCGTCCTTTTTGCATCCTGGCGTGCAATTAGCCTGTCATCAGAGCACTTCTGCCAGTAAATGAGCTGTGACTCACTCCAGCCAGATTTACTCCCTCACTAAACTGCAAATGAGCTCATTGTATTTTACAAGCAACATTTTTATTTAGAGTTTTGTTTTTGTTTTTCCCGTTCGTCTCACATATCAGACTTTTGACAATCTGCGTTTGGTTTCACAGCAATTTCCTGTTTTATGAGGCTTTAGGGAAATTAACTCTAATTTGAAACAACATTCTGGAGAAGAGGTAAATAACTGGAAAAGACCTGAAAGTCTGACAGGAGCTGAACATTTAAATGCTAAAACCGTTGAGAGAAAACTGAAGATTTTGACATCTTTTGTTGTGGTGATGGGTGTTTGGCTGTCAGCTGTAGTTTGAGATGTTTGTGGGTACAGTCTGCCCAGGCAACAGCGGGAAAAACTTTGACCTGGGTTATTTGTGTCGTCCAACTCTCACACCACAAATTTTTCTGCTGACACACAAGCATTCCAGCTCAGTCACAGACCTCTCAGAGTCGAGTCTGCATTTGAAACCAGGAAGAGAAGCAATAGCATTATTCCCACCTTCATTCTTCACTTGTACCTTTGTTCAATGTTGCAAATGTCCATCCATCCATCCATAGTCTGGATGGGGGGGGGGCTGGTGCCTATCTCCAGCGGTCAATGGGCAATCAGGCAGGGTACACCCTAGACAGAGAGCCAGTCCATCGCAGGGCAACACAGAGACACACAGGACAAACAATCACACACACACACACACACACACACACACACACACACACACACCTAAGGACAATTTAGACAGACCAATCAACCTAACAGTCACGTTTTTGGACTGTGGGAGGAAGCCGGAGCACCCGGAGAGAACCCACGCATGCACAGGGAGAACATGCAGAAAGATCCCAGGCCGGGAAGCGAACCCAGGACCTTCTTGCTGCAAGGCAACAGCTCCAACCGCTGTGCAGCCCTGTTGCAAATGTTTGCATTTAAATGTCAACTTAATGCTAATTTATTTGCATGTTTTTATGGCAGCTCAGGGACAAAATACTCTGGGTACAGAAAGTATTCAGACACAATCACATTTTCAATCTGTTGTATTGCAGCCATTTGCTAAAATCTAATTAAAATTTTCCTCAGTAATGTACACACAGCACCCCATAATGACAGAAAAACACAGGATTTTAGAAATGTATGCAGATTTGTCTTCCTGGTGAAGATGCAACAAGTTTCTTACACCTGGATTTGACGACCTTCTGCCATTCCTCTCCAGTTCTGTCAGGTTGGATGGTGAACGTTGGTGGACGGCCTTTTTAGGTCTCTCCAGAGATGCTCAATTGGGTTTAAGTCAGGGCTCTGGCGGGGTCATTCAAGAACAGTCACAGAGGTCATTGTCATGTTGGAAGGTGAACCTTCGGCCCAGTCTGAGGTCTTGAGCACTCTGGAGAAGGTTCTTGTCCAGGATATCCCTGTACTTGGCCACATTCATTGATCCCTTGGTAGCAACCAGCTGTGCTGTAGCTGAAAAACTCCCCCATAGCATGATGCTGCCACTGTCATGCTTCACTGTGGGGACTATTGGACAAGTGATGTGCAGTGCTTGGTTTTCTCCACATGTATCACTTGGAATTAAGGCTAAAAAGTTCTATCTTGGTCTCATCAGACCAGAGAATCTTATTTCTCACCATCTCGGGGTCCTTCATGTGTCTTTTAGCAAACTCCATGTGGGCTTTCATGTGTCTTGCGCTGAGGAGAGGCTTCTGACGGGCCACTTTGCCATAAAGCCGTGACTGGTGGAGGGCTGCAGAGATGGTTGACTTTCTAAAACTTTCTCCCATCTCCTGACAGCATTTCTGGAGCTCAGCCATGGTGATCTTTAGGTTCTTCTTTACCTCTCTCTCCAAGGCTCTTCTCCCCCGATAGCTCAGTTTGGCTGGATGGGCCTGCTCTAGGAAGGGTTCTGGTCATCCCAAATGTCTTCTGTTTAAGGATTATGGAGGCTACGGTGCTCTAATGGGCCATTTCCATCTGTACCGGGTCGGCCCGGGCCGGGTAGCCCCAGTCGGCCCCAGCCTGGCCCGGTTGATTCCACACATCCTTGCCTTAAGCCCATGTGGGCTGATTCTACCCACCAATCAGAGGCTTGCTCTAATGGAAGGTGTGAATTTGCTGTCAGCAGTGGGTGTGTTGGCCCTGGTCGGCCTGAAGCAGACCCCCTCGAGAAGAGGGCTGAGAATGAGCCTTGGTTGGCCCGGAAAAATACCAGGCCACCCAGATATGTAAACAACCTACGCTACCCGGCCCGGGCCAACCCGGTACAGATGGGAATGGCCCATTAGGGACCTTAAGTGCAGCAGAGATGTTTTTGTAACCTTGGCCAGATCTGTGCCATGATTCTGTCTCTGAGCTCTTCGGGCAGTTCCTTTGACCTCATGATTCTCATTTGCTCTGACCTGCAATGTGAGCTGTAAGGTTTTAGACAGGTGTGTGGCTTTACTAATAAACTCCAGTCAGTATAACCAAACACAGCTGGATTCCAGTGAAGGTGTAGGACCAGCTCGAGGATGATCAGAAGAAAGGAAAGCACCTTAATTAAATACGAGTGTCACAGCAAAAGGTCTGAATACTTAGGACCGTGTTATTTCAGTTTGTCTTTTCAATAACTGCAGAAATGTCTACAATTCTGTGGTTTTCTGTCAGAACGGGTGCTGAGTGTACATTAATGAGGAAAACACGAATTTAATGGATTTTAGCAAATGGCTGCAGTATAACAAAGAGTGAAAAATTGACGGGAGTCTGAATGCATCCTGTATATGACATTTCTTTCACAAACTGACAGGATTTTTGAGGGATTTCTTAGGTTTAAAAAAAAACAACTGCTTGTTTTCTCTTTTCTTTGCAGCTGATTGGGCCAGACTGAGACTTTAGGGACCAGGTGGCATTCACAAAGAAGTTCCCAAAATCTCCTGTAACATTTGCAAAGGTTTTCCTTTCCCTGGCGGGGAATAGTTCAGAACGTTTACCAGACAAATTTCGTCTCAAAGTAATAAACACACATCTGGAATGCAATTCAATTCAAAACTGTGCCTGTGCCAATATGTTAGAAAAACACTGTGTTATTCTTAAATACCAGCATTCCCTTCATTTGTGGATCATATGTGTGGTACAGGACCATATTTACTGTCAGTTTCTGGACAAACATTAAGCTGAAGTTTTCATATTCCAGCTGAAAAAGCCAAAGAACTGTGCTAACTCGTTATGCAATGTAAATGCTTGGGCAGAGTATTGAATGAGCATTATTAGCTCATGTTTTCCTGAAGTTAGACCAAATGTGTGAGGTTTTAAAGTAATCAAAAGAGATGTGCCTTTGCCCTATAAATGTAAATCACCTTAAAGGCCTTTTGTACATTCATTCTGTGTGTTTTTATCTAACTGCGTTACTTAAAAGAGTTGTTTTACCTTGTTTTTGCTGACGTTTCGGCTGACACCGTAGCCTTCCTCAGAGCTCGCCGCTGTTGTCTGCGTCACTTCCTTCTCCGTTTACCCGCGAGGATCGAAGACTCACAAGAGCAGCGAAACAAGAAGCAGAAAGCACAATAAAGAAATCAGCTGGGACAGACTGGGACAAAACACAACACGGATCATAAACACCAAACAGCAAAAATACAAAAGATGGATCAAGGACGCAATAGAAAAAGGAGACGTGGACACACAACCATGAACAGAGACGATGGGGTCTACACACTGGATCACGCATGGGACTGTGTCATCGGCGAGGAGAGCACGGCAGCAGAGGATGACACTGTCCTCTGCTGCCTGGTGATAAATGGAGAAGGAAGTGACACCAACAACAGCAGCGAGCTCGGAGGAAGGCTGCAGCATTAGCCGAGATCTCAGCGAAATCAAGGTAAAACAACTCTTTTGCTGTGTTGGAAAAAGAACCAAGTCATGCAACCTGCATGACGCCTTTTTCACAAAAAGTTACTAAAATGGATTGAGTGTGATCCAGGGATCACAAATGTGCACCTTTTAGTACACTCTATATCTCCATCTAGTTGATGCAACATGATCCACGAGTCCATCAGAGTGTGAGACAGGACTGCTGTGTCTGGAATCAGGGTGTGTTTGGCTGCAGCTCAAAACAGTGATCGCTATGTGGTCACGCTATCCGGGCCAGGGTAAGACTTCTCAGTTACAGACTACTCCAGCATCTCAGACCGTCTACAGCTCAGACCACAGCCAGAAAGCCTCTCCACCAGTGGCCTCAGCCCACTTTACTTGAATAGATATCCACCCTGCTTATACACCGTATTAACATAGCTCCACTTGCTCTAGACATAGTGCTTCCAGCCAGAAAACGTGCGTTCACTGGACCAAATTGTTGTTTCCAGTCGTAGATCAGATGTCAGAATCACTACAAACGAACAGTTGTACTTAGTAGGCCCCTGCAGGCCAGGGCAAACAACTCAGCCGATGAGCACTCGACCAAATTAGCGCTGTGATTCATCCTGCTGGCATCCCAGCCCCTCCTGCCCTTACTGCTCCCACTACACATCCCATTTTACTCCCACTCAGACTCCTCGTCCAGATCTAAGGGCACGGCTCCGTCTTTATTTGCCTCAACCGTTTGCACACTTCCCCTTTCTGCCCTAATTGGGTGGAAAAATTGCTCTTAAGACTCTTCATTGGGTAATTACATTTCTTTTCATCACATTCAGCCAATATTAGGTTCAAAGAGACAAAGTGTTAAAGTTGATCTCCCAGGGATTTTTGACCCTAATGGACATCCGTTGGTAAGGGCTTACTCGAAAACAAAAACACAGCTTGCTTGTAATGATTTAGGTATCTACTGCCCTCTATTGCCAGGGAAAATACACAATGTCACTTTAAATTTAATAAGACGTTTTCTGTAGTATTAACAAAAAAGTCCCGCTGGACTAAAGGTGATTATTGGATGTACAATCATGTGAAAACTTAGGACACCTCTGATCATTTTCGTGATTTTCCTTTGGTTGTCTGGATCAACAATTGTCAGTTAAATATATCATAAAGTGGATGAACACAGCGATATATCATAACACACACACACACACACACACACACACACACACACACCGATATTTGAGAAGAGAAATGAAGTTGATATGATTTACACCAAGTGTGCAATAATTACTTGAACAAAATAATTAATACATTTTATTGCTATTCAAAATGTGTTTTGTACGCACGTTGACCCTTGATCTACACACACCGGTGAATTCCAATAATGAGAAAGGATGATGTACAAGAAGTCAAAAAGCATCAGACAAGAACAACATAAAACAACAAAAGAAATAGTTCACCATAAAAAAAACTCACACATTACAATAAGATGAAACAAAGAGCACCAATTAGCAACAGGCATCAGTTAAGCCGTAGATCCAAAGGCCATCTAATAAAAGGGAGTATTTAGCCTAGACATAACCTACAATGTTTACAGCCCGTACGATAGACCAGCGATTTGTCTTTACAACATAAATCTATGCTTTTATATTTTTCTCCGTCTTTCAGCTAAAAAGCAAACATGTAAATTCATCAAATTGCAAACTTTATTTCCAAAGTTGAGGCATTTTCTCATTTAATTCCCTCTTTTCTCATTATTAGCAACTGAGAGCGACATTACGGAGCCAGAAGGATGTTTCTTTGACTAGTTTGGTCAAATGTTGATGTTGGTCACGGTTAAACGTTATTCTTTCTTTTTCTTTCTCTCTCACTTTTTACATTCATGACATAAAACCAAATGAGTTCACCCTGTAGTAAAAGCAGCCCTATTGGAAGTGTCTGATGATCCTTCACGTGTTGAAAACTTCAATGTTGTTGCTCTCAGAATGACCTCGTTGTTGCTGTTCACCTTGTTTTTCTTTTTCTCAACATTTTCTAAAGCTTTTTTAATGAATCAAAGCAAAAAGAGGACAAACTTTCTGAACGTGTGACCCTGGGCCTTCACTCAGAGTTACACGGCTCAGCTGAACAAGTGTAGGTTTACAAACTGGCAGTCGCTCTGCTCGGCACTTTCATATTGAGTGTACAACGCTTTGTGGTCAGTGTGTGTGTGTGTGTGTTAAATGAGGTACAAGGATGTGTTTTAATTTAACCCCCCCCCCCCCCCTTTTTTTTTTTTAGAAATGATTTTAAGAGCAGAAGGAAGAACCACGGTATTAAACTCATCTGTTCTTATGATTCTGATAGTCTTGCTTCGCTGTTCCATGTGTGGTCATGTTCATTCACTAATGCTGTCGATCAGTTATGTCAGTCAAATCTCTGACAGTGTTGCATTGTGAGCATTAAGGCAAAGTGTGCGGGGTTTTGGTCTGACGGGAACATCTCTAAAATCTGTAGAAGTCTTGGGTTTAAAGTTTATCTGAGGTCATCCCTTCTCTACTTTTGAATCAAAATGGAAAGCTTTCATGTGTTCATCAGCCTTTGAATGGATGTCTCTTCTGCTGCACCTTCTCCGCTTTAACTGCTCAACCTTTAACTTTGTCTTTTTTATGATTTTTAAAGGGCGAGTGGGCAGTTGTGGCTTTCTTTTAGCAACTAGTGACTGTTTATAGAACCAAAAGCAAAATTGATCTCGCTGTGCGTTTGTCTTTTTACCACCGTAGTCTAACAGCTGAAATGTCTCCCCAGCCTTCATTAGTGTCTGCAGGAGTGATTCACAACTAAATTAAACAAAGCAGCTGAGTTCATGACCTAAAACATGCAGGAAGCAGACTGCAGCACCAACAGAGCGGTCTGCCACTCTGAAGTTGCAAGTGGAATTTTCGGGCCACTGGGCGATAGGGGCTGGGTGGCTTTTCTTAGCACGCACTGGCTCAAGAAAACGATTTAAAAATATGAAAAAGTTGCAAAGTATCCCTTTAAATCTGAACTTAATGTGTGTGTTTAATTTGGTCTAAATGTATTTGTGTATTTTCATTGTGCTGTCACATTGATTTTAATGTTCATGCTATTCTCACTAATGGAAAACACACTGAATGAAGTGTGCTATTCAAACACAGCTGCCTTGCCTTGCCTAAAGTTTTGCATGACATATTTCTCAATCTTTTGCTCACTTTGTGAAAATTTCATCATATTTGTGCTGTTTTATTTACTTTTTCTCCAAATGACACCTGTTAAAAAAGACTAACATGATGATCTCTCCCATCTCACCCAACATGCCTGTTCCACATCCCAAAGCAGCAAACAGGATGTACCAACTAGGAGACCCATCGGCTCAGCCACAGTTGTAGCTGTCATCCAGCTACTTGGCTGTCGAGCAAATATGTGTCCTCAAACCACATTTCAACTCTGTGGAAGCTGCTGACACTCTGAGTTTGTGCGGAATACACTTGATCTACAACGGAAGACGCAAACAAATAAAAAGCCGGCCAAACGTTTTGAGTCAGTAAACTCCATGACCTTCCATACAAGGGATAAAGCACTGAGACAAGATGTCCAGCCTGAAGGTTTTAATGTTGGGAGAAGTCAGCCAGAGACTTTAATAATCATTAAGAGTTATCAAACCCTTGTTTAACTACTTTGGCACCCCACCTTTTAGTCCATTTATCTTACTGAAGGAGGCACTGAACGTAGTGAATAAAAAATCATGGCATTGCATTACTTTCCAACCCATATGTTCCCAGTTTAGGAAAGATGATTCGAAAGTGCTAGTGCCACGTTTGATGTTCCGGTGGGTCAAAAAAAACGTGCTTTTTCCTATTTTTTAAAAATTCAACATTTTGTATATTGATTTGTTTTATTTTATCTCCACATAACAGATCCAAAATAGGCATACTAGTGAGAATCTGAACAATGAAATGTTCGAAACTGTTGATACACATCAGCAGCTTACTGGGGAGCCATAACTCGTGATTTTAGAAATGCAACTGAAGGCCACGCAAAATCAGAAGGAGCCCCTGAGCTTCACTTTGGACACTCCTGAACTACAGGATTAAAGTGACAGTGTGTATTTTTCCTGGTGATACGGGGCAGTAGACACTTAAATCGTTGCAAGCAAGCAGTATTTTTCTGTTGGCGTAAGACCTTACCAGTGGATGCCCATGAGGGTCAAAAAGCCCTAGGGAGTGCAAACTTCTGCAACATAACAAGTACATCAGACTCCCTTTCATCACTGGCAACAAGTGGAGGTAAATGTGTAAAACAACAACATTTAAGAATGGCGAAAGTTTTGGAACCGTTACAAATCATTTAGAGCTGAAACAACTAATCGATTTAATCGATTATAATCGATTATTAAAATAGTTAACAACTTTTTTAGTCATCGATTAGTTGTTTAATAATCATATTTTACCGCATAAAGTCTATTTTTACCACAATCTGACATCGGTTACAAGCTGTTAAATTTGCCGCCAGTGTGTGGCAGTAATGAGCCACTGATCTACCAGTGGAGCCGTAGAAGAAGAAATGAGCCAATGAGTGCCCTCGGTTTTCATGACGTATCACGTTACTGACGCTCATCTTGCTGTGAGAGATGGCGGAACAAGAGGAAATACAGAAGAAAAATAGAAGCGACAAAACTGAAGAGAAACCCCGGACAAAAACCTCACGAGTATGGGAGCACTTCACTCTAGATGCCTTGAAAAGACGGGTGACCTGCAAAATATGCAAAAACCATCTAGCATGGCACAGAAGCACGACGTCCCTAAGTGAACATTTGAGACAAAAGCATGTGGGGGCTGATACAGCAGAGGAAGCGCACCGCGGTCAAGTGAGCCGTCATTTGGAAGAGCCAGCCCGGTAAGTAACAGAAAATAAACAAGCTGGACTTAGTGTTTTAGCTGAGTTCGTTATAGTGGATGTTAAACATGTTTTTTTGCCGTGTCAGTCTGCGTTGTTCTACTTCTGATTGACTAAATGCAATCGTGACTCTCCTCCGTGTTGTGTATCATGCGCTTGCCAAATTTAGCACGTCTGTTTACAAGAATGTTCTCGTTAAGAGAAAAACGGCGCAAACCCATAACTATGTTCCTCATTCAAAAAAGGACAACTCCGCGGAGAAAAATTTACAGACGAGCTGTGTCCAGGTGAATATAACGCGGCATAGTTGTACGCTTTCAATTTTTAAATACAGGAGAAATTCAGAAAAAGTCATTTTTTTTTACTATTAAAAGGCTGTTTTACTATCTAACACTGTAAAACGCCTCACAACACATTTTTATCATGTTTCTTAAACAGTATTACACAAAATAAACATTTTTCCCATTTCTCTAGCTAATTTAAACACTCCCGACTCAAAGTAAAAACCTCATGAGCTTCTTACTCAGAGCTTTTTAATAGTAAAAAAATTAGACTTTTCTGAATATCTCCTGTTGCGGGCTATTTTGTAGAACGTAACCCTCAAAATAAATGATCACTGTATATTGTTAATTAATTCAAATAATATAATATTGATTTAGTGTTGTAGTGTGTGTGCTGCTTTATTTTATATGTGTACTTATTTCAGTCTATTTGTGTTTCTTATGCAGAAAAAAAACAAGCAACGATGGACAACTACATGGGGAACAAGACACTCACCCCCCAGCAATTCATACCACTTACAAACTCTATTCTAAACATGCTGGTAAAAGACATGAGGCCACTATCCATGGTGGAAGGAGCAGGCTTCCAGCTAATGCTAAAAAATTATTCTGGACTGATATTTTGCACTGTTTAGCTCATTTTATACTGCTGACTGTGTTCATGTGCAATAAAATAGATTGCAGTCAACTGCACAATTCTCTTATGTTTTTTTTCTTAACTGAAATGCATCCATCACTTGTATAGGTTAAATAGCTAAACAATAACAAACCGATTAATCGATTAATCGAAAAAATAATCGACAGATTAATCGATTATGAAAATAATCGTTAGTTGCAGCCCTAAAATCATTAAATGCATTTTGTCCTCATGGGCTCCCGTAGAAGGAAACATGGCATCTAACATGGCATCGCCCAGAGACTTAGACATGCTCCCACGTATTTTAGACCTGATTTTTATTGTTATATCTTATAAAGCTGCCAATATTCTTCAACAGCTGGGCAGCATTTCATTCATTTTCAGCAACATTTTGATGGCTATTTCCAGAAATGAGTGGTAAAAACTACACATTGTCTCTTTAAAATGGTTCATTTCCAAATATTTTAGAGAGTGCCCTTTGAAGCATCTAAAAGAAAAAAAGAAAACAAAAATATACTAAATAGAACAGTCTCAAACCAAAAAAGTCCTCATTTACTAAACAGGTGTAAAATAATTAAGCAGCAGCAACTGATTGAGTAAAATAGCAATAATTGTGACTCTTCTTAAATAGATTGATTTTAAAGTGCAGGTCATCTGCTGACTTTGGCAACTGTCGTTATGTTGATTCTGAACAAGAAAACTGCCCCCCCCCCCCCCCCCCCCCGCTCCATATGAATACATGAATGTGTGAGAATAGGTGAATGACCTATTAGCGATAAGGCCTTGGACTTGATTACCTTCTACAGGTTCGGTACATTTACCATGAATTCCACACAATCCATGTTTCATCCCTCAGGCTTTCCTTGAGGTCAGTGCTCCATCAGTGTGCCGCCAGAGCTCTGCTCCTGAGGTGAAACGTGGAACGCATTTAGAGACAAAACACACAGCAACTTGTCCTTTTTTCTTAAATAACCCACATATGTATTATCTCCGCTGTTCTACATTTTCTACTAAAGTTACTTCTGAACAAAGTAAAGCCTGATCTGCACAAACCATCGATCCGTTTGCCCCGCAGTTCATGTGGCAGCTCGCTGTTCCTCATGCTGGTATGTGAATCATACCGTTGGTGAGAGCGTGTTGATACACAGAAGGTCTGAAGTATACCCTTTGTCATTACATTTAGCATGCACGTGAATGTTTAGGATGATTAATCAATACCTAACATAAATAGTACCCATATTATGTTCAGTGGGAGCAGCTTTTTGTGTGCTAGGCCTGTTTAAAACGTTAAAACCATTCAGCAGACGAGATTTATTGTTTTTTAGTCAAATGAAACTAATGTAAAAGAATCTCACTACTTGGGGGACCAAGTAGTTTAGGAAACAGCAGATGACTTAATCCAGGAGGAATTTAGCTTCTGAGCTTCGTATCAACAAGATGTATTACGTGTTGTAATATGTTAGTCATAACAAATGTCAGATTTTCCACATGAAGTGTCTCGTTTTCACACACACCATCAATAGCTTCATTCAGAGCAAACCCAACGCTGGAGATGCTGTTCAGGGTGTGTATCCTATATTGTTCTCTCTCACCGTTGAGCTTTTTAGTGAAGTTGGCAAAAACGTTTGAAGCTGTACTCAATTTTGAAAACACAAATAACATTTTTGTGGATCTTGTGGAGCTGTAAGTCATTGTGTGTTGCACAAAAAGACAACTGAACTTTGAGCACACGTAATGTCCTCTTCACAAAGGCTTTAGAGCATCTTGGAAAACTCTTAACAGAGCCATTAAAATGGTCTAATCTGTATCCTGAGGGACAGTTTGAGATTAAAATTATGACGTTTGACCAAAAAAAAGAACCAAGTTCACCCCCTCGCTACTGTGGATGGCTTCAGCGGAGAGAAGTTTTCTAACTTCTCCCGACACTTGAGCTCGTTCACGTGCCATCTCACATGGAAATGCGAATGGAAAAGTACGTTTTCCACATCTGGCGGAGAACAGCCCTGCTGAGATTCCAGGGGTTTATGTGGGAAGGCTGAGCTGTGGAAAAGGGCTTCCCCCGTGTGTGAAGTTAGAACGTTGACAGAAAATCAAAGGAGTCCTCTGCCTTGGCGTAGCCATGTTGGCCGTGTGGTACGGAAAAGCTCTGACTTTGGATGAATGTGTCCATTGACAGAGTGGGAGTGCTGGTTGTTCATTTTCCATTATAAACTAAGATTTGGGGGCTGTTAGGGTCAGTTTCCATGGTACTCACAGGAGGGCTGAATGAAACAGATTTGCATGACACTCACAGACTTACCCTGAGGTGGGAGGTGGGTGGGTATTCCTCTGTGACTGTTTTATTTAGGACAGTGTGGGATGCATCGATATAAACGACCAGTGTTCTTATTTTAGCCTCCAAGCACTCTTTAAAGATCAAAGCGTCACGTTTTCAGACCCATGCAGGGTACTAACACGCAATTCTTCAACTCCACCTTGTCAATCTCCCGTTTGGCCTCCACCCACCCGGAGCGCCACGTTGGTCAGAGATATCCGTCATTGTGAAGGCTAAGTGCACAGCTGCAAGGCCTGAACGGGCAAAGGCAGCTGGTCCTGTGGCTCACCGGAGAGGCCTGTCATCACACTGCCTCAAAACGAATGGTGTGTGTGTGTGTGTTTATCTACAAGCTTGCTAAATGTTTGCATACATAGGTGGATTAGGATCCATTACAGTGAGTGCTGAATTTTTTTTATCTTACTGTGTTATTGAGATTTATTTAAAATGCAAACCTGAAGTGGTTGGCAATCACTTTTGAAAATTGGAATTTAGAGCTGACAGACATTGTTTTCTTGGTTGTCCATAGCAACAGAGCATTTCATTACCCCTGAGCTTTCTTTTGACTCACAGGGTTTTTTGCCTTCAGTGTTCTAGGGCATTTATTATACATTATTTTATTATATCAACAGGTCATTAATGCTAAAATGTTATTTGAAGGAAGTTTGTGATTATGTGAAGCTTCAGGAAATTTTTAAACAGCTAAATAATGGTGTGTCCAATTCAACATCTAAAGAACATTCTAGTGGTGATGTCAGTATTTTCTGGATTATTTATGAATAATTGTATATTAGACTTGAATTAATTGTATTTGAAAATAGAAATAAGCAGGTTTTGCTAGCCACTTTTTATTAGAAGGAAGCATTAACAAGAAAGCTTTTGTTATTGCTCAAACTCCATCATCAGTCTCTTGACACCTGTCGGTGAGTGCATACAGGAGGTAAAGCTTTCCATGGTCGCTAAGTGGCAGGTTGGAGGACGGGGGGAGGTAACACAGGAACGCTAATGGACTCAACGTATTCAGCCTCAAGTTCTCAGTCTTGTGTTTAGTGATCAGGCCAGGAAACCCAAACAGGGCTCACTGATACATCACAATTTCCTAAGGAAGAGGAGAGTGTAAACAGGGAAGTGTTCCTAAGCCAGATTCCCATCAGACCAGATTCTTCAGAGGGTTTAACTATTTTTGTTAAAGAAGTATTATGCAGTTTGTTGCTTAGAAGCAAACCAAGTTCCAGGTTGATCTACTGTTTCAACTGGTGTTGAGTCATCACTATTAAAGAATCAGACAGGACTGATTAAGATGCCTAATTTGGCATTGATATAAAATTTTAATTAGAAAAACCAAGTGTTTGGTTGTTTGAGGTTTTCTTCACACAGTTGTTGGTTATTCACAAAAGATCTCAAAATATGGCAAAATAATACAATTTATTGAAATCCTGGGTTATATTTGAGACCTTGAAACAAGAACAACGAAACAGATATGCCCATATCTACCTACTTACCTATTTACTTAACTACCTTCCTACACTCCTACCTACCTTCCTACCCACCTACCTGCCTACATACCTACCTACTCACCTACCTATCTACTCACCTACCTATCTGCTTACTTACCTACCTATCTTACCTACCTTCTTACCTGCCTGCCTACCTACTTACCTACCTACCTACCTACCTACCTATCTGCTTATTACCTACCTATCTTACCTACCTTCTTGCCTGCCTACCTACTTACCTACCTACCTGCCTACCTACCTACCTACTTACCTACCTATCTGCTTACTTACCTACCTATCTGCTTACATACCTACCTATCTTACCTACCTTCTTACCTGCCTGCCTACCTACTTACCTACCTACCTACCTACCTATCTGCTTACTTACCTACCTATCTTACCTACCTTCTTGCCTGCCTACCTACTTACCTACCTACCTACCTACCTACCTACCTACCTACTTACCTACCTATCTGCTTACTTACCTACCTACTTACCTACCTATCTGCTTACTTACCTACCTATCTTACCTACCTATCTGCTTACTTACCTACCTATCTTACCTACCTTCTTACCTACCTGCCTACCTACTTACCTACCTACCTCCCTACCTACCTACCTACCTACTTACCTACCTATCTGCTTACTTACCTACCTATCTTACCTACCTTCTTACCTACCTGCCTACCTACTTACCTACCTGCCTACCTACTTACCTACCTACCTACCTACCTACCTACCTATCTGCTTACTTACCTACCTATCTTACCTACCTTCTTGCCTGCCTACCTACTTACCTACCTACCTACCTACCTACCTACTTACTTACCTACCTATCTGCTTACTTACCTACCTTCTTGCCTGCCTACCTACTTACCTACCTTCCTAACCACCTACCTACTTACCTACCTACCTGCTTACTTACCTACCTACCTACCTACCTACCTACTTACCTACCTACCTACTTACCTACCTATCTGCTTACTTACCTACCTATCTTACCTACCTTCTTACCTGCCTGCCTGCCTACTTGCCTACCTTCCTGACCACCTACCTACCTACCTACCCGCCTACCTACCTATCTACCTACCTACCTACCTGGTTCCTGGAATAAGGGATCATTACACCATTGTGCTTTCCCTCTTCTAAGTGCCTTTGCTTCTGCCTGGTACACCAAATGTCCTTTCAGTTCAATAAGCTTCTTACTCAATCTTGTAATTTTAGGGGTAAGAATTCATAGGTGAACTCGTGTTAAAGGGTTACTTGTTCATTTATTTATTTATTTATTTTGCCTCTGCTCATTATTTAGCTCAGATTTAATGGTAAAATCACAGAAAGAGAAATCTGTACAGTTAAATTTTATTTCATCAATGTTTCTCACTTGGCTTTTGTATGTGTTTGCAAACAGAGTGCTGCCTATAACATTGAGGTACATACATGAAAACTCACGCCAATATGTCGAGACGTCAGCTGTTTGTCCAGCTCAGCTTTGGCATGCAGCGGGGAGACGTGAGGGGGTGGTTGCTATGGTTACAGGGCTGTGTTTATCTGTTTCTGTACAGCAGGGGACGGTGTTGTTTAGTAGAGGGGGTGTCTGTAGGACCGAGCAATGCAGTGGCTGGTGTCCAGAGAATGGTAGATGGAATCTAGAAAGTAGGAAAGGCCAGCTGAAAATAAACGCACACACAGCAGGTCGGCTGGGCCAACTGTGCACTCCAGATAAGGAGACGATGCCCATTTTATGATGGGATCATTCAGCTGTATCTGAAATGCCTGGACATAGGCTGTGATCTGACTGATGTTGGGTATGAAAGATAGAGACAGACGCTCTGAGTTACATTTAGACTTGTATCACACTCTTTGGTGGTGTGAGTGGGGGCTCTGCAGTAACCAGTGTTGGGAGTAACGCGGTACAAAAGTAATTAATTACTGTACTGCATTGCTTTTTGCTGTAATGTGGTAATGTAAGGCATTACAGGAAAAGAAAATGGTAATATTTACTCGGTACAATTGTCAGTAACGCGGTAATTACAATGCTTTTTTAAACCCAGAATCAAGATGTGGGTTTCCTAAAAATTCTAATTGCGGGAAGCCTGAAAAAAAATCCAGTATCCACATATATGATGTCATTTATGGACTCAGCTTTGCGGGCGTTCTATGAGCAGAGAGGACGCAGCGGTAATGGCTCAAATACTCCAGCTGCGTCCTGCGCGCGGCCGCTGTTATATTCTCAAAATCACTCCGCCAAAACAAAATAATTCGTTTGCGATCGTTTATATCAGCCCGTATTCTCTGGTACTTCATGTAATTTTCAGCTGAGTTCATAATCTGTGCCCCGGTGATTTCAACTCATTGCTGCTGGAGCGCAGCGCATATTAAGCTTTTTTTTTTTTGCATTTGGTAGATGCCTTTGGCTGATTAGTTAGAAAGTAGGAAATCTAGGAAACAGTTTTTCTGGAAGACGGAGAAAACATGCAGCATGCAGGAAGGTTAGAGAGAGAAAGGGCCAGAAATTATTCAAATAAGATCAAGAAAACAAAACAGTGACCAGTGAAAAGCAATAATATATAAGCATTTAATATTTATACATGTGATAGAATCAGATCACCCCAGAAGTCAGTCCCACATCCAGGGCTGTATCAAGGCATTTGGGGGCCAAGGCAAATAAAGGCTTGGAGCCCCCACCACCTCACTCCCTGATCAGTTAATATAAGATGGCAGCGTGCTGAGAGTACAGATTGTTATTGCTTTTATTTAATAAACAATCATTTTAAAGCACTGTTATTATATCTGACTGTTTTTAACAGCAATTCTAGCTCAGACACCACATCACCTTCCACATATATGTCATGAGCTCACTGAGCGTCACATTACCAGATTCATACTGAAGTTGTATTGGTGAAAGTAACTTAAAGTAATGCAAAAGTAGTGTAACGCCTTACATTTTAAAATCAGTAATATTGTAATGTAATGAATTACTTTAAAATGAGGGTAACAAGTAATAAATAACGCATTACAGTTTGGAAGTAACTTGCCCAACACTGGCAGTAACACTGATTCGATCTGACATTAAAAACATTTGATAAATGATGCTTTAAGACAAACTAGGCGATGAAGATATCTTTGTTAATCAGAAGTGAAGCCCAAATTTAATCTGTTTACATGATGCAGATTGGTTTTGTGCGTCATAGCTGCTCTACGCTGGTTATTTTTACAACATGCCTAATGAAGTGGTGTTGAGTGCCATGATAGGAAACATAAACAAGGTTTCTGCAGCCAGAAAGCTTCTTATTTGTTTTAATTGTGCACTCTTTCCTTTGTATTAGTTTGGCAGAATTACAGAGTTGACAACATTGAAAGAAGAACCAATCAACTAATACCTCTTAACTGGATCGCTGTTAGGCACACTGGACTGGAAAAGGCAGTTTTTCCTCTAACCTTCAATCTAAATGTGTCAGTGATGGTCATTTAGAAGTAAAAAGTGTCCATCCATCCATCCATCCATCCATTCACTTCTGCCTATCCAGCGTCAGTTCACGGGGGAGCAGCCTAAGCAAGGAGGCCCAGAATTCCCTCTCCCCAGCCACTGGGGGGATCCCAAGGTGTTCCCTGGCCAGCTGAGAGACATAGTCCCTCCGACGTGTCCTGGGTGTCCCTTCAGGTCTCCTCCCGGTAGGACGTGCCCGGGAAAACCTCACCGGGGAGGCGTCCAGGAGGCATCCTAATCAGATGCCCATGCCATCTCAAATGACTTCTCTCAATGTGGAGGAGCAGCAGATCTACTCCAAGCCCCTCCCGAATGGCCGAGCTTCTCACCCTAAGGTAGAGCCCAGACACCCTGCAGCGAAAACTCGTTCTGGCCGCTTCTATCCGTGATGTCATTCTTTCGGTCACTACCCAAAGCTCAAGACCATAGGTGAGGGTGGGGACGTAGATCGAGTAAAAATGTATTAATTGAAATAAACTGCTACTGGATCTTGCACTTAATCACTTGTAATCTGCCAAAACACAAACACAAGTCAAACAAGTCCTGAATTTAGTCCGTTGAAAGTTCTGAGGTACGTTCTTTGGTCCAAATGATTAAATTACATTTTAGTTTATCAAAAGGTTTATGTTTTAAAGCTGTTCAATCCCAAACAACAGTCACTGGTGACTTATTTTTATTTTAAAAGTAAACATGTGCAATCGGTAATGGAGAAAGAATTCAGCGATGCACTAAGGTGTGACAGCGAGCAGCAGGGTGGGACCACAAAACCCTCTCTAGGTTGCAAAACTGCTGGTGGGAATGGATTCTTAGCATCATCTTGACTCTGATTGCTGGATTAAAAGTAAAATTTTCCAGCTGTCAGTTTGGTTGATGTGTGACCGATGTTTTCTTTCCTCATGGCCTCAAAAACATCTGATGACACTTGGTGTGCCAGCATCTGCTGAGCTTTCCTTTCTAACGTCTGACTTTCTGTATGTTGCACAGAATGTTTACACTTTGGCCTTCGTTCTGGTTTTGCATGTCAATGTTTCCCAGGTGTGAATCCGCTGAGCTGCAGTTTGGCAGATTTTATTACAAACTGAAACCAAACTAACCGCGGAGTCTGTACATGAAACATGAATAACAGTGTGCTTCAGGTTAAAAGGCTTTTAATTTAAATTCAAACTGTTTTTTATGTATTTACTGTAACTTAGAATTATATCTATATACTTTGTGAAAGGTTTGATCCAGATAATAAAATATTTTATTGAAAGGAATAGGAAATGGCAGGAAATAATGTGGTTTGGTGCAAACGGCTGGAGGCTTTAGTTTCGTTGTGACTGCAGCTGCCAACAATATCAACAGTTTGTCACACACATTTGGTTTCACATTATTTTATACAAGCACCTCAGAATGCATGTGACTATTTCAGCTTATTTTCTTGTATTTCTGTTGATTTCTCTCTGAATCATCTAAATCAGGGGTAAGCAACCCTGGTCCTAGAGAGCCGCAGTCCTGCATGTTTTCCAGCCATGCATGAACTTGCAGCTTCTAACTGGCTGAAGAAACACACCTGATCCAGGAAATCAACAGCAGGAAAAACAAAGATAGTTTGAAAACAAGCAGGACTGCAGCTCTCTGACACCAGGGTTGATCTAAATGGTAAAGCATGTGAGGCTCACGGCTGTCACCACTAGATGGCACTATGCACTAGTTACAGTTTTGCACTGCACATAAATCCAGAACTGCAAAATTAAATTTTTGGTTCAAATAAAATTTTCTTTTTTTTTAGACAATTGTTTTAATGAAGTTTTAAAGGTGCAGTATGTAATAATATAATGAGAATTTTACAGTGAGAAAATCCCAAAATCATCTGATGTTTCAGTCATTTTGGAAGGAAGGTTATACCGAACCATATCCAGCTGGCTGCGAGGGTTGTCAGTTTCTCTCCTTTCAAAATAAAGGATGGAGGGGCGTAACTACTGTTTACAATCAGTGAGTGTGGGGGTGCCGTGTCTCCTACGAGCTAATGCTGCAGCGTCGACATTTGTAATTTCACAATGGCCGGCAAAAAGCTCCAGAGTTGTTCAGAGTGGTTGCAGTAACCACATTTTATCACATGATGTCATTTTTACTTTATTTCTACATAATGCACCTTTAAATACTACTTTATTTTAGCAATATTGATCAAAAAATGTCATACTGAAAATGATTTTCATCTGTTTAACAGCCTATTGTATTATTTTTCCTTCCAGGACCAAGTGAAAACACCAAAGCAATCCAAATCCAAGATAGCAGAGACAGCTGAAGGTAAAGCAACAGACGGTCTGGAGCAGATAGCTGAAGAAGGACAAGAGGATGTCAGAGAAAATCCCAACTCAGATGAAGAAGTTGTTGTTGATGAAATAATAGTGGAGTCTCGTACAAAGCGCTTCCAACATGCCACCAAGCAGCAAGTGGACAACATCAAGAAAGCGTTCTCCAAAGAGAAAATGGAGAAGACCAAAATAAAGACCAAGGAAAACTTGGAAAAGACCAAGCAGAGGACCCGGGAGAACCTGGAAAAGACAAGGCAGCGAACCCGTGACAACCTGGAGAAAACAAAGCACAGCTTGGAGAAGAAAATGGGCAAACTCGGAACCCGCATGACCCCCAACATGGAGCGCAGAGCCAAGATTAAAAGCTCCAAAGAAAAGATGAAAAAGTCCCTCACACCAGATCACACCGTCTACGCTCGCTCCAAGACAACTGTGTATCGAGTCCCTCCCTTCACCTTCCATGTTAAGAAGATCCGTGAAGGAGAAGAGGAGGTGCTGCAGAACACAGAGATGGTGGAGGTGACGGAGGCAGAGGCGCAGCCTGGGGAAGAGGATGCTGGGTTGGATGTGGAGGTCGAGGAAGATGAGCTGGTGAATGTGGATGGCCCAGAGATGCAGGCACTGTTAGAGGTGACTGATGACTCTCAGCTGGTCATGGTGGAATCAGACCTTCTAAAGAAGGCTCAGCACGAATAAAGACTCCACGTGACGTGCCAGGATGAAGAAGGAGACAGTCTTGATGACTGTGTCTGATCAGAAGAACACAGTGATGGTCACAGGGACGTCGTAGAAATGATCACTTTCTGACATCTCATTTTCTCTCTGTTGTCATTTTTGGACCCAGCAAGGAGGACTTTTTATTTTTGCTCTTAAAAAAGATAATTAACAAAAAATAAATAAAAACACAATTAAATAAAACAAAGCTAGCTTTTAATATATTATACAGGCTGACTTTCTAGAGTTAGAACATTTGTTTTTGGTTTGATTTATTTTCTGTCTATGAGGAAAATGCAACATAAATAGATTTAATATTTAACACATTTTAATTATTTTTCTCCTGTGTGTCCAGAGCATTCATATAAAGCCAAAGGAAAGTGTAAAGAGGCTGAAAAGAAGGGTTTCATGTAACAAACATGTGAAACACAGAGAAAGAGCGGGTTTATTTGGGTGGAAAGACAAGAAAACAACCATTCTAATTAACAGCCAAGGGCGTCAGTTTGTTTTCAGAATTGCTGGGGACAATAACCATACACTTGAGTGGGGTTTAAAAATTGCTGGGGACAATAAAGGCAGGCTTTTTTGAAAGTGGGGGGACACAGCTGCCAATCACAAATTTTGCCGGGGACATGTCCCCGGCGTCCCCGGTTAAAATGACGCCTATGTTAACAGAGTGTTTACTACTGCTATTAAAATGCTGTACCAAGTTTTGAACCACAATATTGCACATTTTTAAAATTAAATGTCAATTTTACAGACAATGGCAACTAACTATTTAAATCTAATAAGTGAATTAGACAATTAACCACAGATAAAACCACAACAACTAAAATACCATGGTGTGTTTTATTCCACCACTGGAAATAAGTGTGTTTTAGCTTTTTAAAAACCAGTACTCGTCCATGTCTTGGGGTTTCCAATCAGTTACTTACAATTAATTTATCAAGTAAATGAATCTGTCTGAGGCTGTAACAGAATATGTAATGTTTTCTGTTGTGTGTCTTAATGTTAAGTGCTTGAAAATGTGGATGTAACCATAACTGTGTTGTTGTCGTTCACATTCAAAAATGGTCTTTTGATGCATCTATATACAGTATGAGCTCACCAGCATGCATTCAAGTCACTTCTACAGAGAAAAGAAGAACATCTGTCACCATGGTCACAGCTCGTCACAGTACATGTGCACATCCTTGATAAAAATGTTCAATATAATTGCTTACAAAAAGAGAATGGCCTGAAGAGGAGAAGGCAGTTAAATGACTGCCAGAGTAAAACATGTGAAAATGCATCTACTATCTTAAATCCAGTTTAGTGGACACAGCCAATCGTTGGGGTTTTAAGATTATCATGGGACTAATATCAACAGCAATGTAACTGTACAGCAACCTGCAGTGATAATGAAAAGAATGTCGCTACTGGTTTAACCAAACGTCTCTGCATATAAATTATAAAATCAAACTGTTTTTTCTTGTCAGATAAAGAGCAAAACATAATGGGAGGATACATCTCTTACGGTAATCTATTCTGAATGTGAAGTCAACTGCCTGTGGCAGCATTCAACCTTTGTCACATTAGATCATGAGAGGAAACCGTGCAAGGCTCCAGACAGAAACAAGAGGAGTGCTTCTGTTTCTTCCTCCCTGCAGACTTCTATGACCTTGATGTGTTTGCAGGCACCCAGAAGCATTGTGGCAGAGGAAACACCACCCAAATAATCAATGGATGGGGAAATGCAATTAAGGAAAGTGTTTACTCTCTCTCTCTCTCTCTCTCTCTCTCTCTCTCTCTCTCTCTCTCTCTCTCTCTCTCTCTCTCTCTCTCTCTCTCTCTCTGTGAAAGCTAAGCAGTGAGAAAGACAAAAGAAAGCATGTGTGTGATCGTGTTACAAGTCTATGCAAACTATTACAACACACCAAGGGGAATTGTTATCTTTACATAAAAATAAATTATATGCTTGTAAGATTATCATTTTTATTTTATAGCTTTATCTTTGTGTTGATTTTTGACAGATATATAAACGATCTCCCATTACCTAAATGTGTTTTTGCAGCGGTGTAATTCAGTTTTCTTTTCTTTTCACTGTTGCATCTGTAAGTGGCGTATGGCCTTGATGTCACTGACTGTACCTGCCAGACTCAAGGTGTTTTGGCCAAACAGGTTCAATATTAATAAACGCTTATTACATAATCCACCAGTTTAAGGTTTGTTGACTGTTTTATCTATCTATAAATCCATTTATCCACACGTGTGTCATTTATAAATATTATTTTAAATAAACTTAGTCTGATTACGTTTGGACACTTGTATTAATTATTTTTGTCCCGTTAGGATTAACACTAAACTGCAGATGTGTTATTAGACTCGGTGACGTCAGCATTGCCAGTAACTCAGATGACTTCCAGGCTGGCTCTTCTTTTCAAACGCCTTTCCTCCCTCCGTAACAGCCGAACATGCTGTTCTTTGAACGGAAAACCCCGAGGAGGGAGGACTAAGAGGAACAGCCCAGTTGCGACAGCAGTAAACATAGCACTCAACCAAACGTGCTGTTACGCCGCGCATCTTTCGTCACACATCTGCTCTGATTTGGTTAACAGAAATTTCTATATTGCTATTTGCCACTTGGAATGTCAATCAACAACAGAAGCTTGTTTGATTGGCTGAAAAGACTTGCAGAGCGGCTGATGGGTTGGGCTACTGGCTCTAGGCTTGAAGAAGTGTTTCTCGTGTTGTTAAGGGAAGAGTAAAGGTTGGCATCTTTTGTGAGTGTTTTCTCTCGTTTATGTGGGTTTACCGTTTTAGAAGAAATTAAGTGTTGCCTTCAGTGTACTTTTAGTTAACAGTTTTCGGGTTTTTGTCGGAGAATCTTTCCAAAGACGTGACAACGACTCGGGTAAGCGACTGCATTCAAACTAACTTACTCCATCTTTATTTGTGAATGTTTTTTTTTATGTAAACCCGTTATCAGTTTATATTTACTAATGGCCATGATATAAAAGGCTTGGCCAGCTGAACGCTGCTAAACGCCTATTTGTGCTGGTCATAAGTTATTCTGTGTGCAGAAACATTGTGTTCCGCTATGGCATATAGCAAAGTTATTATTGCCTTACTGCTTTTAATTAATTATTTCCGATATAAAATATTACAGCTAAGACGTTCAGTCTTGTATAGTTGTTTTTTTTTCTTTTGTTGTTGTTGTTTACTTTCAATAATGTGTTTTGGCTCAATTTATCAGTAATTTCGATCTGTTGGTAAAACAAAACAAAAATTTTTTTAAAAAGCAGTAAAAGAGAGAAAGAGCATCTTCCAGGATATGAATATGACCCCATAAAATTCCAGGCCAGTGTTTGTTATAAGCCGTCGTTGTTGTCACGCTCATCTTCACCCCATCATGTGCAGAGCTGCATAACAGGATCAGATCCATGATCACTTTCAAAATTAAAAGAAAAGAAAAGTGTAGTATTGACTAATGACACTTACTATTTTAGTTTGATGATGTTACAACTGAAAAAGAAAACCCATTATGATCATCATTATTATTGTGTCTAATAACCCGCAAGTGTCCTGCCTGTTAACTGTCAGTAAAATGACAAACTTGGCATGATTGCTTCTTTTTTTTTTTTGTGGAGAGCTCTACTTCCTGGAATGTGGCTTGTCTGTTTTAAGGAATCTCATTGTGCATTACCGTAAGTGGTAAATGCTCACTGACAAAACACACCTAACAAGATTAGATTTTTTTTTTATGAGTCATGTTGAATATTGAAGTCCTACTCTGCCCGTCTGGAGTGTGAAAATACTCATATGATGGGATACTGACAAAATTAGGCCAAATCATTGTCTGTGTGTAGCTTTGTGTAACATGAGCATCTTCAAAAGGTTCCTATCATGTATCATGTGAAATGTGTGTGACCTCAGCAAAAGGTCTTTGTAAAATATCCACCAAACAAAGGGCACAGTCCTGGGACTCACCAGTGCATCAGTTTACAGAAAATTTTGGCAGTTTTTACCTTCTTAGCTAAACAAAAGAAGTAAATAATCAAGCACTACTGTGTCTCCTCTGTGACTGTAGACACTGAATAATTGATTATACAGCCAGGACCCTCCCCAAACATAATTAAATCATCAAAAACATGAGAGAGATAACTCCAGTAGCATTTATTCTTTTTGGATAGCAGGTAAGAAGGTAGGGCATTTGTTCAAAATTTTCTAAATAAAGCAGTACCATTGATTTGACCATGGGCAATCCTCTTGTGATGTCACGTTTGTTGGGGTTTCACTTCCTCAGCAATTCTCACCATGTGTTAGCATCATTTTCATATACCAGTGAAAGAGGAGCATGTGTGATGTGAACTTATATAAGGTGACACAAATGCTTAAAAAACACCTTTTTAGCTCAGTTCTTATTTTATTACAGCGTATTAACTACTGTATCAAAACATGTTTGAATTTCAGCGTATTAAAGGATAAAATGAAAGCTTAGGAAACACTGTTTTTCCATTGACCTTTAAATTTGGCAGAAACAGGTGATGCTGATATCCATCCATCCATCCATCCATTGTCTGAACCCGCTTTGTCCACGTATGGTCTCGGGGGGGGTCAATGAGCAATCAGGCGGGGTACACCCTGGACAGAGAGCCAGTCCATCGCAGGGTGATGCTGATATCGCTGACCTTATTCTTTTTAGCTTTTACAAAGGAGTCACGCCTAAATGTAGAATAGCCTCCCTTCATATTCCAAGTCACGTGGCCTAATGTACACAGATTTACGATGAAACTATTAATCGTGTGTGCTGTCAGATAAGACCTACATAATGCTGATGTTTTGGGTGTTTTGAATGGAATAAATTATTAAATGTTTCTGTTTCTTTTAAATATGCTGAATCATGAAAGATTTTGACAGAATATTAAGTCCCAAGTTTTATCGTTTACAATTTTATCAACACTTACGGCTGTTTTATTTAGTGGATCGCATCATGAAACCGAACAGAAGGGCTGTTACACTAGCTCTGCTTTAGCTTGTGTATACAAATACTGCCAAGCTCATTGTACAAGTTAAGATTGTGTGCTTCACCAGAGTTTAGGTGATACCGTAACATTATCCTTGTAATGTAAGCATTAAACAAAAGCTTTGCTTTGGTATTTAATTTCCATGACAGGGAAGACGGCTCTGCTGGATTCACTGAATACCTTTTTTGTCGGTGTGCAGAAGACAGTAATCCTCCAGGGACCCATGCAACCTCATTTTGGTCAGATAAAAGCCTTGTGTAACAAGGTAAATGAAAGATCTGATCTGAAGTTGCATTATAATTCTAAGAAATGCAATGTGAAGTTAATCATTAAAGACAGGAATGGTTCTGTAGTTTCTGATCCATGTGCTCTGTCGCTGACAGCTGAGGAAAGGAAGTGTGTTTTTTTCTTCATTGTTTCTAGTAAGCCTTTATACAAAAAACATTGGTTGAGATTATTAACTTCTCTCTACTTCGAGAGCTAACAGCTGTTCAGGACGTCCTGTATTTCTTGGCGGAAGTCTAGCGTTTCAGCAAGCAGGAAGTGACGAGAATGAATAGGAGGCTTCACATTTTCCTGACTTTGTTTTCAGGGTAAACGCGACAGTTGGCTGTTTCCTGCTGGTAAACGTGAGGGAAGTTCTGTTAAGGCATTTAAAAACACTTAATGCATCTTATATGTGCATTCTGCTCTGCTCTGCATTTTCTCTTAGAAACTGCGTGTGTCAGGATGGCCCAGTGGAACCAGTTACAGCAGCTGGAGACCAGGTATTTGGAGCAACTATACCACCTGTATAGTGACAGCTTCCCTATGGAGCTACGGCAGTTCCTCGCCCCCTGGATTGAGAGTCAGGACTGGTGAGAAATAACTAAATTAAAGCCTTTGTGTTTGTTTTTAAATGGTAGCTAAAATTTAAACCAAATTTTCATTGTTAGTGGATATAGACTGCTTGGGGCGTGTAATGTAGCTTATCAAAATGCCTGTGCCATCTCTGACCTGCTTTCCTATGTAAGTCAGTATGATTTAATTCTTTATCAATTCCCTTATGAATTCCAGGGTAGTTCCAAAGGTGGCAAAAAACTAATAGCACACGGCCTCCTGTGTTATAACTGACGGTTTATTTATGATAAATAATCAGTTGTACCTGTATCAGTTAGAAATGTCTTTCCAAATGTTCTCCTTAATGCTTTCTGTGGAGGCAACGTCATCATCTTGTTTGGTGCAGTGTTGCTGGAGCATATGCCGAGTGGGAAAAATCTCACTACAGGTCAGACCTTTGTCGCTGGAGTCTGCTAGTGTGGAGTTGTGTGTGTGTGTGTGTGTGTGTGTGTGTATAAGCAGGGTTTTTCCTGCATTCAAATTTGCGTGGCGGCCGCCTCCAGCTAATTGTGTGCTGCCTCAGCCTGATTTCTCTCTGCCCCCAGCTATATACCGTAAATCCTCTAATACAGGCCCGGGCCTGTATTTGACTCAAGCTCATCAAGCTCCAGGGCTTTATTGGAAGGAGGGCCAGAATTAGAGGCAGGCTTCAATTTCTATTTGAGCAAAATGAACTAATGGTTCGCTGGAGTTTTTGACAATTAAAATTGCGCCCACATTTTCAAAGTTAAACACATTTCTTTTAACAACGGTAGTTTCTGCTTCAGCCCTCTCCCCCCTCCCCCTGCGCAGCGGCCGCAAACTCACTGATGCACCTGCAGCCTCTCAGAGTTCCTGCTGCTCTAAACATTAAAATAATTATTTCATTTTCTGTTCCTCACTTCTGATTACCTTCAATGGTGTCTGTTTGTTGCAACCACCAGGTACAAAAACTAACTTGTTTTTATTTGACTATTTTTCTGTCCTGCCTGCTTATTATCTTCTTGCATCTCCTCTCAATCCTAAAGAAAAACTGCTACCTGGGTTCATATATATTCACCTTATGAGTTACCTTTGAACTGCAGTTCTAAAAGATCTACCGACCGCAAAAACAGCGGAGTTCTCGCTGCTCGCCGGCCACATCAGTTAGGTGCGTCACCGAGGACAAAACAGGTGATGTGCCCCGCTCCACAGCAGCGAAACGCATCAGGCACAAATAAAAGACAGAAAACATAAAAGGATATGAGCCGACATGAACGATCGCGTGTTAAATTAGTTTTTGAGGTGGTGACACCTGATTTGATAATGTTATTGTGGCCGTACTCAGGACGCAGATGTCTGGAGCGTGTCAACAATCAGAGCTTTGCATGCACAAGCTGGTTAAGGTTAGGATGGGGTGAGGGGAAGGTTAAATTGCAAGAGGGTAAACGTCGCAATTTGGTTAAATGTCCGTTTTACGGCGGGTGTCAGTACCGACTCTCTGGCACAGCGCGTTGCCTCCCGACGAGCTGGAGCTTGTCCCCTGCTGACAGCAGGCTGCTGTCTTTTCCGAGGGCTGCATCTTGCCGGTCATTATCATGTGACAGCGACTAGTCGATGACAGGCATAACAAGTCACTATAGAGTGGTGAAGTTGACTAGTGACTAGTTCATACAACCCCTGCTACTGCTCCCCAGAGTGTTCTGCAGCATAATCAGCACGTTCTCTTTGAACTTGATATCAAATTTTCGCCTCCTCTTCGTCTCCGCACGGTTAAAGTTACCCTCGCGGTCTATCACTGGCAAATCAAAAGTGAGACGGATGACACAACCGGCCCCGTACTTGCTTGTTACCACATTCCACCCGGCCACAATAAAAAACGGCCATTATTCACCTCCGCTGACTCAGACACTGGCCAAAATATAATAATTTAATTAAATACAGGCTAATATTAGAGGATTTACGGTAGATGTTATTTTAACTGCAGTTGCAGCGTTGCGCCACTACCCGTGCGCTGTATCGGCAGCGGTGCACCAAAAAGCCCTAAAACCGCTGCAGACAAAGATCAAAAATGGCTTTTCTCGCTAGTTACATATCTATGGTTGGTGCTATTGACGTCCTGATCTTCCCCCAGGCTCTTCCATATCAGAGCAGGGCTGTACAGTGCCACGAAAACAACTGTCTGTGCGTGTCTTGTCTATTTGTAAACGTAGCACTGGTGCAACATCTTTGAATTACTATTTTCCCCAGAACATCATTGAACAAAAGTAAGTTACGTGTAAGAAAAATGCTTTTTACTGGCACACAGTGTGGTAATCTGGATGCAGTGGAGGAAAATGAAGGAACCAGCAAAGGCAGAACCGGTCCAAAGTCTGGGATCAAAAGTGCAGCTACACGCAGATTGGCTATTGCTAAAGCTAAAGGGTAGCAGTCTCACGATCAAGTGGTGCACAGAAAAATATATGATGATGGTAAAACTAAGAAAGACAACTCTACAAGCGGATGAAAAGTCCCCACCGTCCTGTTTATTCTGCATCCTGCAGCGCTACGGATCAGAACCGCTGCAGATACGAGTAATTTCCCTCTGGGATTAATAAAGTATCTTTGATTTGATTACTGCTGGCGCAGGAAGTACGGCAAGCCGTTGTAGTATATAATTCACAAACGCCTCTATCTCTGAACATAATTTAAACTGGATTGTTGCCAACCCGTACATAATAGACATGCCACCATTACATTGTTAGCAACAGAAATTCAATTCAATTCAAAAATACTTTATTAATCCCAGAGGGAAATTGATTATGTAATGTTATTACCATTTCCAATACAAATGCATGTTAATGAAATTCATTATATTTTTATGTGTTATTTTGACTAAGATGAGTGTTATTAATACAAACCTAAAATGTTACTGAAATGTAGTTCAAATATTTAAAAATATTTTAACTCTAAATATCAGATGGGAAAAAGTGAACTAAACACTAATCTAATGCATAATATTGAGCCTTTTATAATAAGAGTCTGAGCTGCATGGTGGCGCAGTGGTTAGCACTGTTGCCTCGCAGCACGAAGGTTGCAGGTTCGAAACTCGGCTGCGGCCTTTCTGCGTGGAGTTGCGTGTTCTCCTCATGCATGCGTGGGTTTCCTCCGGGTACTCCGGTTTCCCCCACAGATCACAACATGCCCTGTAGGTTATAAATTGTAAGTCACTTTGGATAAAAGCATCTGCCAAATAAATAAACATAAACATATTTCAGCCTGATAATTTTGTTGTTTTTTTATTTTTGTTCATATTTTTAGCAGCAAACCAGTTTTGTTTCACTTAAAACGTCAAATGGAATATTCTGTTAATCAACAGAAGCTTAGATTAGAACACTTAACGAAAAAATATTTGGCCTTTAAAAAAGTGAGGCAGTTGAATGCACAGAGCATGCATGTGCTGGTGCATGGTCAGGATGGTACTACCTCTGCCTCAATTTGAGCCAGAAAAAACCCTGATAAGGCTAATGACACTAACGTGATAGGCAGTGTTAGTTGATTAGTTACTTGCAGTATTAACAGTAGAGGACCTGCGAACGTCACCGCTGCTGCTGTGTTGATATTCACTAGTCTGGAGCGAGTCAAAACACGTCATTAACTGGCGTAATTTGTGCCCAAATGCTTTTTCCTTCCCTTGCTGAAATATCTACTATGCAGTTATTGCAAGTTACCCTGTTGTTATCCTTTCTTTTAAAGTGTGACCAAACTTTCGAGCATTTGTGTTGCTTAGACGCCATGTTTCCTGCTTCCATAAGCTATGCAACGTGCGCGGTGACGTGACCATCACACAATTAAAGTAACACAGAGCAGTTTCCTGCCTTTTACCCTACTGGTTGAAAGTGGTATTACAACTACAGTAAACAACCCTGCAGCAGCATGCTGTAGCTAACACTACCAAGGAGCTAATGCTGATATGAGCCAAGTCTTACTAAAAGAGCCACAAATCTAAAAAGTCCACCCTGTTGGACAACAATAATATTACCTACAAGTCCAGTTGCAAGAAAGCTAGGTCACAACCAGCCCAGGACTTCATAGCCTTTTTCAGCTTCCTCTAACTAGTGTAGGCCACGCCAATGTTTACTATGGTTTTAGCTCTTTGCTTTGCCTCTAAATACACTCTTACTTTTTTCCAGGCTCCACCATGATGCCAAAAGAAAAAGCAAACTTTTTTTTTGGTCTGTGTTTTTTATTGACAATCAGCGAACTGAAAAAGTTAACTGCAGAGAAAATAGCTAACAGTTGTAACACATGTATAAGAGCACCCCCTATCTGCTCCACAAAACTGCTAAGTAGAGCCCTGCACTGAAGCCCTAGGCCCTCAGGTCGGGCTTCGAGCCAACGACTGTGTAATTACCTCGGACACGGGCCGGGCCGGGCGCCTTTATTTTTAATTGAATTCATAAAAAAAATTGAAACAAACGCAGCAGTAGAGCCCTGCGCGGGACTGTTTTCTTCATCCCGCTCCTGCCTGCTCCCGCTGAATTTCTGACCATTACCGCCTGTAACTGCAACGTGTGTGTTACACTCCCGCCCGCACCTGCAGCGTGCATGTCTACTCCCGCCCGCAACCGCAAAACTCGGAGAAATTATTACCTCACAATAAAAGAGATGTATTGAGTTTGCGTCCTCTCTGGTCCTGGAGAAAACATGTCACAACCCGCGGCTCTTCCATCCATCTGATGCGGCTCTCTGTGCTTGTAAAATAATGAATGGATATTTAAATAAAATGCTTTATATTTTACTGAATTAATTTTATATCTGTAAGTCAATTCTATGTAAAGATTGTCTGCGTAACCTGAACAATTCCAACCCAGTCTTACTGTGAGACCGGGTTGACGGGTCACACTTGTGCGTTATCATATGCGCTTTCTGAGCTGAAGATGTGCGATTCTGGGCTTTTCAGACGGCTCCTGGATGTGTCGCCACATTGGAGACAGGAACAAGCACTATTCAGCCAAAGTTTCATAATCAGGGAACATTT